TTTAGGAAAGTATTTCCACCTCTGTTTTCCTTGGTGCTGGTTGCTGTTGCACCCTGAATATAAAAAGAGAGTTGTTTCCTTTTGCCGCTTAAGGAAAGGAAACCATTGTTTGTGGTGGTGCATGTTCAGATTTCATGTGCTGTGTGTTTGGTTGGCTCCAGAAGCACTGGAAGGCCAGGGGATGGTTTCCAGCAGAAAATGAGTAGTGTGGGCATCAGGAAGGAGCCACCCTGCAGTTGATAGCTGTGCTCTGTCACCTGGGGTGAGAGGAACCCAGCGTGGTGGCCCTGCAGGTGGCCCAGCGTGGGAGCAGGAGCAGCACTGGGCTCTAAGTGATTATTCCATGTAATTAAACACTCCAACAGCGCCAGTGGGCAACAGCTGTTTTGAAAATGACATGATGGACACATGTCAGGACATTCTGGTGGCAGCATGCCCATGCAGGCTTGCAACTGAGAGCGCCCCATGTCTCTTTTGATGCACCACTCTGTGCTCTTGGATCAAATGTCCTTAAGGTTGGCCAGGTTAATGAGGACCGCTGGTTAATTTGCTTAGATTTGAAAAGCTGTAGTTCCTGGAGCAGTGATGTAACAGGGCACATGGGCAGCTTCATCCAGGGCTGTTCCCATGTGCTCTGCTCATCCCTGGAATTGTTGCACACTCTCTCAGCCCCCCTTCAGCAAAGTAATTAAAACCAGCGAGCCACAGGCTCTTCTCCATCCTCTCAAGTGTTTAAATTTAATGGCCAATTTCATAAACAGTCCAATGGGTGCTGGCACATATTGTTCCTGAAGGGTAATCCTGGCAGCATGTGCTGGCTCCTAGTTTATATAGAGTATTCTAAAAAATTACCTTTATGTTAATTTTTTTGTGGAGCTCATGGATCTCTTCCAGTTGTGGTCTCCATGCCCCCAAATGGGACTTTCATAGGAATTTTAAACTTCAGAACACAGGAGATGTAAATAGGAAACATGAGGGAGGGGGGAAACACTTTTTGTTGTTAATAGCATTTCTGAATTTTCATAGGATTTTGAAGACTATCATATCTTTTTGGATGCCCATCAAAAGTCACATCATGATCCTGAGAAAATCCACTTCCCAGGGCTTGGCTGCAGAGAGCGAAAATGAAGTGTATCACATAGACATTATTTCCTGTGTAAATGGAGGGATTGATGGTGCTGTTGGAATTGTTCTTTCCCACCCTATGGTGGCTTTTGTCTTCACATTGTCTTCTTCTGCAGTCTTAGAAAAACTTTAGCTGTCCTTTTAGTTGTGCCTTTAGCTGTCTTTTTAGTTCTTTATTTTGTTTTAGGTGACTTCCTGGTGAAGGGTGTTACAGGAAAATATTTCACTGCTAAATGGGATTGTAAGGAAGTTTATTTAGAGAAGCTTTAAAGTCTCCAAATGTCAGTCCATTTGCCTTCTGTTGTTCCTCATCCTGTCACTACTGGAACACTGATGCTTTTGAGAGCACCCGTTCAGCTTGGTCCCACAGTTTAGTCAGTAATGAACCAGACCTACCCATCCTGAGAAATCTTCATTAGCATCAGCAAGACAAAGGGCCTGCAGAAATATCCATAGGTTTGTGTTCTCCATCAGGACTGACACGTTTTGCCCTTAGTGTTGTGCTCACTGGTGGGAGCAGGAGCTGGCAGTGTGATCTGGGCTGTGCCCGTTACTCAAATTGCACTGAGTCAACAGGCACCCCAGCCAATCCAGGCTGCAAACTGAATTATTCACAATGATTTCAGTAAAATTTGGCATTTGGGTGTAGCTTGTGTGAAGGAGAAGTAGTTTTAAAGCCTCTTCAACAGGGGTGATTTAACTGAAGAGCAGAGGTTTGGGTTTTGTTTTTTTTAAAATTTTAATCCATATTTGTGTTCTGCTCCACTGTGTGTTTATTTTAAAATCTACTTGTGCATCAACACATTCTCAATCTGAAATGTAGATCTCAGACTGACATGTTTTAAATGTTTGAACTCTATCCAATTTTAAAGTACCACAGTTATCTAAGAAGTACATCAAAGTTTCCTTCAGTGTTCATTTCTCATTATTATCTGTTCTGGAGCGCTGATTGTTTTTCGGTATAATTAGTGTAAGTTCTCCTTTTGATCTCCACGTCAGATGTGCTCTCATGTTTACAGAGAAGAATCTCCTCCAGGTTTACTCCTCCTAAGTTTTACTGTGTAAAAACCAAACTTCTGTCCCAATTCCACAATTTTAGGTATTGGATCTGTGTAGTATCAGGCCACTCAAAAGTACCACTTATTTTCTTTGAGTACGGTCACATATGGTTTGCATTTCCGTAAAATTCCTCAAAAAAAGCACACCCAGATGGGTTAATGGCAGGTCTGTTCCTCTATGCCAACCTTAGGCTGGACATGGCAGGACAGTTGATAAAAGATCTAAAATAAAGCCTGCTGATGACAGATTGCCCCACCAAAAATTTCTTGAAACTTGAACCAGTGAAGTCAGTGCGCTCCCCCTTCAGCTTTTTGTGCCTCTGCCTGTGGAGGTTTGGATCTGGCACCAGAAGCCTTAAATCTTGCGTTGTTAAAGCAGACTTGTAGTTGCTTATCTTCCTGGAAAAGGATGTGCTCCCAGGACTGTAGATGAGAACCAGACAAGTGCAAGAGCCTCCATCTGGGTGGGGATAATTAGCCAGTTAAATTGCAGTTCCTCAAAGAAGGGTCTAGGACTCATAAACTAAACATAAATCCACAATATCTCTGTGTAGGGAACATGTAGTAACACTGCTCAGGGCTGGAAAAGCCTGACCTGGAGTACTTTATCCTGTTTCAAGCATCTTTTCACTAGAAAAATGTGTAACATACAGCCTAAAGCAACAAAAATTGAAATAAATCCAGGGAAATAAATATGTCTTGAAAGAAAGTAGAGGAAGAGAGACATCTTGCCAGTGGGGTTTGCAAAGTTCCCATTGGGTTTCTGGATAGAGTTGTTTGTTTTGGGGCAATATTTATCATCCTTGTCCTAGTGTGAGGTGCCTTAAGCTGATGCTGAATTCTATTTGAACTCAGAGGGAAAAGCCCATCCTGACAGGAGAGGAGAGGGAACAGTGGGAAACCCTCTGTTCATGCATGGCCTCTGTGCCAACTGCTCCCAGGAACTCCTGGGGTCACCATGTCCAAATCTTGGCTATTTTGGGCAACCACATCACAGAATCCCATTCATAAATTTCTCAAGTACCACTACAAAAATAGTTTTGTTTTACTTTATTTATATATGTTTGTTTGGTTTGGTTTTTTTGCCACTATTGCCCTGGCATGAACCTCTGCTTTGGAGCCTCATCTCTAGGCTTTTTTTTTTTTTTTTTAAACTACTTTTGAATGTTTTAAATGTTAATTAATCACTTGTGCACTTTATTTGTCCCTCCCTGCATTTGTCTTCTTGACCATCCAGTGTAGGATGGGAAAGTGGATAATGAGGGGGTAGATTTTTAGTTCTTTTATTGTGTTCTGGGAAGAAAAGCTCCTCCCTCCATCACTGCCATAACCCCCTCTGTTATTTTGCACCTGTTTAAATTTGAGTTTCTGTGTCTGACACAGCGGGTGATAAGTGCTGCAGGCAGTATCCCAGAAAAAAGCTGCTGTTGCTTGTTCATCTTCACTGGACATACTCTAAATTGTAATTCTCCTGTTTCTGAGCTGTTTCTCACAGAGGGACAGTTGTACTGACACAGAATGAAGGAATCCTGAGGCATCAGATGGTGCTGGTGGTGACAACTCTGGAGAAGATTAGGAGCAGTCTGTATTTGAGCAGAACATGTGTTACACCATGCTGGGAGCTCTGATGGACTCATTGAGGATCTACAGTCACGAGAAAGATATTTTTGTGGGTGTTCCTTGAAACGGAGGAGCCGTGCTGTGTTTGGGCACAGGGTGGACAGGCAGTGGGTGTGCAGTTTGACCTTAAGGTGTTGGCTTCCAGTTGGCTTGACACTGTTTTCTGCAGCTCTGCTCCAAGAGCTCCTCTGCTACCAGTAGTGGCTGGAAGTTCTCAGCACAAAGTGTCTCCTGAAACCCAGACACTGGGAAACGAGCAGAAACAGATTCAGTTTTGGCATCTAAAAATTAAGGAGAGAGCAGAACTGTCAGTAGATGGTACAACCAATTATATCCTCACCCAAACCAGAAGAGTGTCCAGCTCAAGGGCAGAATGGGCAGAATTTGTACATCCTCCAGCTGTGTGGTGTGTCCCAGTGGTGTTGGTGGATTGATGAAAGATAAATGGCTGTCTTCACCAAAAGTTCCCTTTCTCCCCCCTTCTTTTTGTCCCTTGGGCACAGCAACAGTACAACCAGTGCCTTTGGTTGTGCTGCTACAAAGTGTTTCCATATTTAAACACTGCTCCAGATTGTTTATTGACGTGGATAAGTGATACAGCATCCGAACCTCTGAGAATCACACCATAAATTTCCCAAATAAATAGGCATAAAGGAGAGAAGCCAAACAGGATATAAGTGCTCAAAAGACTCACGATTGGCAAGAAGTGTGCCTTTCTGTCAAACCAGCAAGTCATTGTTTTACCATGAAAAGAAGCATTTAGGCACAGATTTTTCTGTAAACAGCTGATTTTTTTCTGCCTGGCTTCTTAAATCTTGTTTAAAATGTCATAGGCTGAGTCCTTCCTAAGAGCCTGATGGCTGATTAGCAAGTGTAAAGATTAGCAGACAAAGTACTCGGTGTTTTGTAGCCTGGTGAGATCCCAGTGGGGGCTGTGGGAATTGTTACATGGGCTGGAGTAGGTGTGATGATGGATTTTTTCCCACTGGAACATCATGTTCAGGAGTGACAACCTGGGTCCGTTGTGAGAACTGGTAACCTTTCCTCCTATGAAAACTGGCGCTCCAAAAGCTTTGGGTGGAGTCAACTCATGCCTACATTTATGCTTGCTCCAGTTTTCAGTGCCACTGGAGCATCCACCCTTTCATAAAATACATTTTGTGCTGTACCACTGTGGGATGTTACTCAAGAAGACTTTGCTTTGTGCTCTGAAGCTTCCCTGAAGGATCTTGTTGGACTGCCTGGAGGTGTGCTGTGGTGGCATTCGCTGCCCTGCCTGTCTCTGGTCCCAAGGACAGGCAAAAACCAGCCTGAAGCAAGAAAAGGCACAAAGAATTCAAACTGTTGCTCTGAGTTACAAATACTTCTTGAAGGAATACAGGTAAGAGATGAAAGTTTTCAGGGAAGAAGGATTAGATTCACCTAAATAAAAAAATTGTGTTAAAATCAGGCAAAGAAAACAAATAGATATAGAAACCTAACAAGTGTATGCTGGGTTATCTTCATGGGAAGGTGCCTTGATGCAGAATTGGGCTGGAATCTGACAATGAAAACAAAAATTTACCCCATCATTTTTTTTCACCCTCTGCAACCAGTTCAAATATTTTAAATATTGTCTGTCCCTCAAGCACAAAAAATGTGTTGTGCAATATCGTAATAAAAACCAGCAATTGCTACAGGCCACAGACATCCAAAAGGTTGGTAAAGCAAATGGCCCAAAGATGTTGCTAGCATGTTATCTTAGTCAGATTTGAAATCAATCAGAACTATAATACCTTTGTTTTTATTAAGCTAGTTGCCCTCTCTTCCTTAAAAATACCAATATTGACATCATTACTGCAGTCAGAACTTTCCTTTCACTCCATCAGCAATACCTTTATTGCAGGTTTAAAAGCAACCACTACAAGATAATTTCCAAAGAGCTTGAATATTGAAAAAAAACCAACCCAAACTAAAATTGTAGAGACTGTTCATGAGACTGGCAACCTAGCTGACAAAAATGTTTTGTAAAACTCACCAGGATAGGGTATGTGCTATTAAAAAGCAATCAAGTTTCTAAATAGCCATTTACAACATATTTTGAAAAAGTTTTTGGAATAACAGATACTGTCCTTGAGTGTAGCCAAAAAAATTTACTTTTCTAAATATTCTGGTAAAACATGGGGATTTTATTTTCATGCAGAGTATTATTTTTCCAAGTGTTTCAGTGCTTGAAGATAAGCAATATATTAAAGTTTAATTCCATTTTATTCTATTGTTTAGAGATTTTTAACACAGAATGGATAAACATTTACCAGATAAATGAACAGCATATTTTCCTTTTTCAAAAAAAGAGAAGACAGAAAGTGAAATATTATTCTGCTAACCAAAACAGAAAAAAACCCACAATCAAAACTTGTCTTAGGCTTATAAACTTAATCACACTTCAGGGGAAAATAAATTCCTTTCCTAAATTCTAGGATGAAACCTTTACCCTACATAAATAACAAGGTTACAACTTCAATGTCTTTCTCAGGAAATATGAAAACAAATAATGTTTTCTCTCTTTCTCTCTGTGTTGATGTCAAATGCTTGCTCTTGGCAGGAGCTGCTGTTTCCTTTCTTACCCAGAATATCTTTGGGCAGCCCATCATTAACCACGTGCCTGTGATGATCTTTGGGCTCTTTCATAGTGGAACAGCTGCAGTTTGGGAATTCTAAGATTTGGCTACAGAAAAGACATGCTGCTTGAAAATCTGTAATTTCTAGTTTTGCTTGTTTGGGCCATACTTTTGTGGTGCTCAGAGGCATTTCCTCAGTGAAAGAGGATTCATTTCTACCACCAAAGAGAGTGTTGAGAGTTTGTTGTGGGAAGAATGATACCCCTCAGATGATGCTTGTGATTGGTGATGATTTCTCAAAGAATAATGAACAGAAAGATGGCAAAATGGGAGAATCCTATCTCACACTTTTTAAAATAAAATACTGGACTAGAGTTGTCCTTTATCATTTCTGTTTTCATTAGTGTTTTACCATGGTCATCATAATTATAAAAAAGGGTCTTTTTTTTTAGGATATCTCTGAGTTTGTAAATATGTCTTTGTTTATACACAGGTTGAGCACAATGATCCTTCAAAATAGGTCTGTCTTAGGTTCTTGTGATATGAGCTCCTTTGGGTTTGTTGTTTGTTTTTGGAGGGGAGCAGTAGTAGGCACATACATCCTGATGTGGAAATCTGCCTCTTTAAGGTCCATGCCTTTCAGATAGAGTCTGAGGTCCTTTTGGAAAAGTGCTGCTGCAGAACAAACAGGAACAAGTTTGGAATGAAACTTAGGTATTTGGATAGAGATTTTGGCCCAGCTGCCTTTGAGCACCTGCAGCAACCACAAAGCCCTCCACGCTCTGCTTCTTTCCATTGTGCAGGTGGCAGAAATTTCATGGCAATTTCCTCTCCTTTGTTTTTGGGCAGGAAGTGTGGATTGACCAGTGTGCCTTTGGATAATTCAGTTTATTAGTAAGCCAGTCCCCATACAAAACCTACAGGGAAGCAGTTTATACGTAGACTGGATCTTGGCTGCTCCTTTGATATGAAGATGTATTAGATAATAAATATTGTCAAAAGCTCCTTAAGGAGCCTGGGCTCAGTCGTTCTCAGCTTCCCTGCTGAGGGCCAGACTGCCAAGAATGTCCATCCTCAGCCATTCCTACTATGCCTTTCACCTGGGGGTGTCAAGAAGCCTTACCAAGGCACTGGCCCATTCCTTCCCCTTGCTGGCTCCGAAGGGAAGCTGTCTTTCTGATGGATCAGCTTTCTGCTCCAAGAATTCTGTCACTCAGGATGGGGCCTCTGGGAATCCTAAGCAAGAGAGTCTTGTTTTCCTGCAGCATGTGTGTCTGCATCCCCTGGCGTGGGGAGAGATGGCTGGCAGGGACATGGCACCCTCGCAGATCTCTTTCTGAAATCCAAGGAGCAGTGTCTGGTTGCATTGACACTTCTTAGGGCTTCTGCCTCTGGTGTGCCTTGGCTTGGTTCCTCAGGACTGGGGAACACAGGGAATGGCATTCCCACGGATAGACAGGAGTCAATAGAGCTTTTCCCACTCACTGGTTTGTGTTCCCTTGCTCAGGGAGGGACATTCTACCAACTGCTGGTGGAACCTGGCCCTTTATTATCCTATATTGGTGTTGTTGAGTTAAACTTGCAGGGCTGTGAAGAAAACTGAGGAGAGCCAAGCTCTTACTCAGGGCAGGATTTGGTTGTATTTCTTCAGGGAGCACAGAGCTAGGACCTTTGCTGGATATCTCCCAGCTCCATCTCCCCACCACATCAGCTCCACCTGCCTGGACACACCCAAAAAACATATATAAATAAGGTGGAGCTCTGCCCTGCAAAACCCAGCCCCAGTGACTGCCTCTGTCAGCTCAAATGTAGAAAAGCAACTCCTGAATGTGGTGCCTGTGGTCCAAACCCTCTTTATCAGGTGAGCAAAGCCTTCCAAGACATGCATGACTGGGTTTATGCAGCCCAAACACCCTCGTGGCTTTGCATGGAAATGTAAACATGAGTGCAAGTGTCTCAAGATTAAGACTTTAAATTGGAAACCTGGGGGATAAAGAGCAGCTCTGTGAGTCAGCACGTGTGCTGTGGCCTCAGCCCTAGGCTGCAGTCCATGACTGAGATTTTAGAGTAAAACTGGTAATTTTTGGATCCTCATTTCCACATGTTTGATATAAAGAGCCTTTTGTTACAGCCTGGTAAAGGAAAGTACACATCATATTTTAACTGTATCTAGATATCTTTTGTATTTAGACTCTGGTGCGAGTTTAGGCATCCACTGTCCCAATAAATACCATTTCTCTCACCATAATCTCTTTTTTTGTCTTCTTTTCCTTTCATCTTACTGCTCCCATTGATAAAACTTCCTTCCCTTGGAACACACAAACAAAAATTACGAGCATCATAACCCTGCAAAACATTTAACAGGATTCACAAAACATGGATTCAGCAGCCCTCCCATATCTAGTTTTGTTTTCACCATAACCTTGAGCATAGTTTTAGTGCTGATCTTTGTGTGCAATAGCTACAGAAGCAAATAATATTTTTCTGGTGCCTAGCAGAAGAAGAGTGCTTAACTAAAGTATATTAGAAATATGTCTGAAAACAGATTTACTTAATAAAGCATTAAATAGTTGTTGATAGCGTGGAGAAAAAAGTGAAATTTATCTTGGGATGGGAAGAGACTTTATGTGTTTTCATAAAATGTGAGATTTGATGGGGTCTAAATAAACAGTAGTGTTATGGTGGAATTCATATTTTCTGGTTCTTTACATGCTGTTGAAAATGTCATTTCAATCAAAATGTTCATTATCTTTATGGGTTTTAGGTGATTTTGCTGTTTGTTTTTATGTTTTACAAGGCTTATGTCAGATCAGACGTGTGTTCAAGACCAGGGCTGCATCCTGCAAACAGGGTAAATAAATCTTTAAAAACAAAAATAGACAGGCATAAATAAAAAATGATGTCATAGCTGTGTGTCCATCTAACCTGCTTTGAGTATGTTGCTGTTAATAATAGATCAATAACTTTAAAGCTGTAGACAGCCTTCCAGGAAAGCTGCAGCCCCACTCTAGAGCCCCACCATTCTCAGTAGTGAGGAACAGAGCTAAGCCAGCTGATCATCCAAATAATCCTGCCAGGAGCTGAAGTTTTTCCACCCGTGTGACTCCCAAGCACCGGACACAAAGCGTCTGAATGGGCTCTGCCCTTCAGTGTGAGTTGTCAGCATCAGGCCCATCAAGGTCATCTTGCTTTGAAAGTATTTCTCCTCTGCAAAGGAAACTGTCCATGGAGTACACGATTTATTTCACTATTAGAGCTTTTTTTTTTTTAATGGATTGGGTCATAGCAACATAATGAATCATGTTTGATTCAATAAGGTAATAGCCAGCACAGACATAGGCTATAGGCTTTAAAATAAATGGAAAAGCAAAGGAGATGGGCGAGTTCCAAAGTGTCCTACTTAGGGTGGTGTTGGAGAAGATGAAGGAGGCAGGATTCATCTTTCTGCAGATGGAAGGGCAGGATATATCAACATCCCTGCGTCCCTGAAAGGTTGGACAGGAGCTATCAACATCCCCAGAGGTTTTAAATTTGCCCCAGGGGACATGGGCTGCCTTTTCCAGCAGCTCTTTTCCTACCAGGCCAAGCTCGAGGCAACATCTGGCTGCTCACAGCTGAAGAGCTGAGGGAGAATTTAGATGAAATTGTCCCTGATGTGGAGTTAATCAATGCTTGATGTCAGGACTTCGAGCAGAACAAAAGTTCAGGAGGTGTGCGGGTGTTCCTTGGAGAGCACGGCAGCTCCTGTCCAGGCTGTTGGTCCAGGGCCAGTGCCTCGTAAACAGGTGTCAGCATCCCAAAAAAAGAACTGCCCTCCCTGCCAGCAGCGGGTATCCTCGCTGGCATTCCAGCACACTCGCTGACATTCCCAGGCACGGCTCCTCGGGCCAGCAGGAATGACCCGCTGGCCAGGAACGAGACCTGCTGCTGGGGTGGCACTCTGGGCCTGCCTGGCACTTGCCTGGCCTTGTTTTTCCAGGGGTTTTACAGCCTTGGAGTGTATCAGGAGGTGGGGAAAGAAAAAGGGGAAGTGATAGTCGAGTCACTTGTGAGGATGATGGTTTTTCTTCTTAGGATTAACCTCTAACTTGGAATTTGGGTGATACGGGAGGTAGAGAACTGGGTAAGGACGTGCTGAAGGAGGATCCTGCTGCTAGGGGGCAATATGCAGCAAGCAAAACCCCACTAAAGGAGTTTTATCTCTTATCAAACATTTTCTTAAAGAAAATAACTTAAATTCAAAAGTTATCCAATGCATTGCATACACTAATGTTTTCTCTGCAGAAAGAACATACTACAAACAAATATTCAACCTTTACTTACAGGTTGTGTGTGTTTCTTTTAGCATATATATGTGTGTGTGCGTGACTTTTTTAATACGCTTTCGAACTAGTGCAGGGTATTTTTTTAAGAGTTGCATTGTGTGAATGCAATTTTTAAGTTCATCTTAATGACAAAAATACTTTTTTCTAGGGAATATGCAGTGGCTATGCATCATTATGACTATAATGTTAATGGTTCATTGATTCATGGAGAAAATACATTGGATTCTACAGCAGGTTTTTGGTTCTGATTCACCTGGTCATCAACATCCAGTGAAGAAGCATTGTCTAAATGAGGAAAGGTTATAACACAGTGTGCCAAATTTCAATGGTGGGAAAGTGATCATTAATTAATTAGTGTTACTTTTTGCAAGATGAGGTTGGTAATTTTAACAGCTGTGACTGAAATTTGAACAGAGGAGGAAGTGGTTTTGAGTTTGAGGGATCTTTTTATTAGCTCAGTCTTGTTTCCCATATTGTTCACAGTGAGAGACTCAAATATGAGTTTGACTCTGTGTCCCAGGAATATTAGGGACTTCTCCTGACTCAGAATCCATGGGGTTTTGGTAATGGTTTTATGGCTGTGTTGAAATGTATTGAGTGCTTCTTCAAGTCTTTGTTGTAGTGTTTTCTGCTTAATAAATAAGTGAGAGTGGGTTACTCAGCATTAGAAGGCAGCAAAGCCAGCAGTTTTTACAATGCTCTCCTCTTACAGCTCCCAGTAAAGAGATTAGGATGTCAGTCTAGCTGGATTAGAACATTAATGTTCTTTGCACTCCTCACCTTTCCTCTTCTATCTTGCCATAAATAATTCTGAACATGAATTTATTGTGAGATTAAATTATTGTTCTTGTTTAATGTGATTAATATAAAATATTCATGGTTTTAAGTCTTTGAAATGCTCTACTCCATGAAAAAAAAAGAGGTTTTGTGCTCTGCAACAGAAGGCTTTGACCTCTGCCAAATCAGCACAAGTGAACTGCTTGTAATCCCTTTTGGTTTGTAATTACCAAAGTGGTTTGGATGGCTTTACTTAGTATTTAATCCTGACATCATCCTTAAGTGTAGAAAACAAACTTCCTGTAATTAAGATCATATCAAGAAAGCTCTCACAATTCACATATTTTCCAGTAGTCATAATAAACCAAAATTCTGATTCATTACTTACCTGAAGCACTCATTCTTTACAATATTGCCAGGCTACTGATGTGTAAACAGAAATGTAAATATCTGCTTCTGTTGGGGGGATTGTTTGGGCTTGCACAATGGTGCTGAATCATTTGAGCAGGTCTCCTTGCTCTGTGCTGGGACTTAACAAACACTGCTTGGAAGGGCAGCTTCAGAGCACAGGCAGGTCGTTTGGGTGCAATGAAGCTTGTGATTTTTCTTCTCTGAGCCTATTCTGTCCCGGTGGTGATTCCTAAACTAGCACTTTACAGTTCACAGCTCCATTATTCAGATTCACAGCCAGTAAAAGGTGCTTCTCTTCTAATACCCTCTGCAAAAATCTGAAATAACTGGATTTTACTTAGTACAGTGTCAAAAGGAGGGAAAAGAGGACTTTTACAGCACGTAATCCACAGTTTTTACAGAGTTGTTTCTAGCATCCTTCCAAATAAAAATGAAAGTTGTTTTGGCTATGAAGTTCCAAAAGTTGTACTGTTTTATGAGTATTTTGCAGCCACAGAATAAAGGTTTTAGTACATAAGATTCTGCAGCTGCCCACACTTGTTTCAATTCCCATTGTTCAGGGAGCCTGCCCATATATGCCTGTGAGTGTTGGGAAAAAGAGACCATACACATGTAGGGGAATTGTTACAAATGTACTAGCTGCCCCCATGAACCAGCAGATTTTTGGCTGCATCTCTGTATTACCCCCCAAATAAGATCCTTGAACTATTACAAATTGCTGTTTAAGTGGCTTGCTGAGTTTGGTGGTGCTGCCCTGAGATCTCAGGTGTGGTGTCTGTTCTGGGAGAGCTATTGGAGAGTGCTAAAGAAGAGCCAAGAACAGCAGCCCGGATCTGCAGAGGTGTGGGTGTTAAAAGTGTGCTCATGAATATGTAGAGGGTGATTGCTGCCCAGATTTACGGTAAGGTGACGATGTTAATGAGCACTGGTGTTCCTATGAAAGCAGCTTGGGGCAGCAGATTGGCCAGAACTGAAATGAGCATCCACAAACTTGTGGTGTTGGCAAGCTCCAGAGGAGCACAACTGCAAATTCCACAGAAGCATGTCTTTCATAACAGTAATGTTTACCTTTCTCTGATAAGCTCAGGACATGTGCCAAGGCTTAAGTTGCATCCTCCTCCTCTGCCTGCTGAAGGTTGTTGTCCATGCTGGCTCCTGCCTTGTCCCCACAAAGAGCATGATCAGAAGTGCAGTGATTATTGAAGTGATCTCCCAAAATTCAGATTAGGTCAGGTTGCTTGAGGCCCAGTGTGGTCAAGCTCTGACCTTCCCCAGGGATGGATGGGGATTTGTAGCTTCACTGGTTCCCTACCCATTGTGTGATCACTCTTGTTAGAGAATTGAATTTATTTTTTTTTTAAATGTTTGGTCATAATTTCCCTTGTTGTAGCTTGTCTGTAGCCTCTCACCCTTTTCTCATGCACCTGTGAGAAGAATCTGGCACTGCTGTGTCTGTAACTACTCAGTTGGTAGTTGAAGGCAGGCATGGGACTCCCTTCTTTGGGCTGCATAAGTGGGGACTTTTTTGGGTTTTCATTTTTCCAGCCTGTCAAAACCCCTTGAAGTGGTAGCTTAGCCCTCCAGCTTATCAGTCCTGCTCCTCGATTTCACATCATCTGCAAATTTGCTGGGTAGTGGGATTTTTCTTTGTCTCTTCCCTTGACATTATCCTTGAAGTTCAACCAGACACAGATAGGATAATTTGATTTCAGGTTTTTGTTGTTTTGGAAAGCGAATTTAGTATCCATAAATTCTTGCTTTACCTTCACTCTTTAGACGAACAAGGACTGCTCCTGTAGTTTCAAAAAAAAAAAGGGTACCATGTTACAGTATTTTATTTCAGTGTTGAAATTAATAAAATCTTGGAGCACTTTGTGTTCTATTGCTTGCAGAAGTGCTAATATGCAAACATCAGTTTGCATTTTGTCACTTATCTGGTTCTCAGTTTATAGTGAAATTTTTATATTAAATACTTAGCCTATTTATGTACTTAAACAGGAAATGGAAACAATTGCGATGTCTTCATCAGGAGCAGATTGAGAGGGAGAAACCTCCAGATATTCAAGACTACTTAAATAAGAATGGTTCAGTAAATCAGATGCAGGATGTAGGTGCTTGAGGAGAAACCCTTGACTTAGTTTTTCATCATGAACAAGTTAAAGGAGAAACGCCTCCTGAAAAGGGGAAGGCACCACTGCACCTATCCTCACCAGCAGTTTTTCCCTTTCCCCCACCCCTTTTTTCTCCTCTTGCCAAGAAATACATTCATTCCATGAGCCCACAGAGTAAAAACATCCTGAGACACCAGTGCAGGATAAAATTTAACTGAGCACCCTTCTTCTTCTTCTGGAGGAAAAGACACAGGTAGGGCTGAAGAGGGCTGAGGAAAGCTGAGAAGGGAGGAAATAAGAAGGGATGAGAGCCCTGCCCAAGTACTCGTTGGCAGGAGAAGGCAGGAACAGGATACGTTTCAGCTTTTGGGTGGCTCTGGGAGGAGCAAGTGTTGGTATTAAAGTGTCTTGATAAAATTGTTCCCTTCCTTCTCAGATGCAGACAGCGAGTTTCATGGGGTGGATTTTCTGCCAGAAGATCTCAGTGAGGCTCCAGAGGAGACTGGAATGAAGGTGAACAAGAAGTACTCCTGTCTACCTGCTGAGGAGAAGGGCATCCACATCATCAACATCCGAGCAATCGAGGACATCGGCTACGACCAGCATGAGAGCACAGTGAGTAATCACGGACTGCTGGGTCAGAACAGGCACATTGCACTTCGCTGCTCAGCTTATTTCTCATCCTTTCCACTCCCAGGATGCTCTGAAATCCTCTCCCTCCATTTTTCCAAGGTGTTGGGAAGGATTGCCACTAGGCACAGCCCATGCTGATGTGGTGGGGGTTGTTTTTGGATGTGTGAGAAAGGGAACCTGGTATTACCTGTAGCGTAAAAAGGGGCTGACTCTTGTCAGAGTAAGGAATCTGGCAATAAGGCTGTGCCAACCTTTACACCTTCTTGTCAGTGCTGAGAAGAACAGAAGGGAATGTCTAAAATTTCATGCAAAAGCTATTGTTAACATAGGTAACATTAAACTGATCTCCAGCACACAATAGAGATTAGATTTCCAATGTCATTAATTGTTCCTTGGTTAAATTCTTTAACACAGATTTTAAAGGAAGTTAGTAATATGAATACCTGGTATAATTAAGACTTGGTTATGTAATTAAAACATAAAAAGAAGTTTATTATGGTGGAGTGGGCTATACAACATTTGCTGGGGAAAGAGATACCAGAAAAAGCAATGTGATTTATTGTGCTTATGCTTAAAATTAGGATCAAGCATGGAGGAATGATTCTGTCAGGGTGTTAAAATCTTCCTGCTGTGGTGAAATTGAAATGTCTTTGTCTCACAGGCAATGAGACGTGAGCTTTACATAGTCTAAGTCAATGCAACTCCATTTAAACACAGCAGCACTGCAAGAAAACATCTGGCCCATGACTATCTTGCAGCATTTATACCCCATCCTTAAAATAATCTGACCATTAATTTCTCTAAAACAGAATCAAATGTTTTGGCTGTTTCCTGTGGGATATGGCTGTTCTCACATATAAATGAATTTGTTGAGGCTTTAGTGGCCACAGTGGTGGTTCAGCCCAGTTTTTCAAAAACTGCTGTTTAATAAATTAGTAAGATCAACACTTCTTAAAAAAAAATTAAACACAATCCTGTTAGTTGCCATTTGTTAATATTTTGTTTCTGTAGAAATTTGCATGAGTGGGTTGCCTGTCACAAGCAGACTGTCAGCTTGCTTTAAAAAAAATGTTCTGAATTCACAGGTGCATACCATTAATCATAAAGCAATTGGAAAGTAATAGTTACTAATGGTCTTTGATATCAAAGTTATGATTATGAACTAAATGAGAATATCTAGGCAGGGCACAAACATTAACAGACTGTGCCCTGAGGAGTCCATCATGGCTAAGTAACCACCCCTGTTTTCATGGAAGGGGGAAAAGAGGCAAGAAAACAATGAGTGAACTCCATAGTGGCTACAAATGTTGTATTACTTTATCCTATATTTATTAACTTGCTGTAAAGGGTTTAGGTTAAGTGGGAAAGAGGGATGAGATCCTAAAGGAGAGGGAAGCAGGTAGCAAAGGCTAACTAAAATTACTTGCATTTCATGTTTTATGTATGAAATAAGCAGGTGTACACATCCCAAACAAATTTTAGCATTTTGCAAATGATGACCAATTGCTCCCTTTTGGAGCACAAGTCTTTTTCCCTCCATGGAAGACGGACAGTCTTCTATAAACTTAAAAGCCAGAAAAGTTCCCTGGTCACTGAAAAGCCACTCCTGTGATTGGAAATCTTTGTAAAATCAAATGCCAGTTATTAGTGAATTTTCTTCTCTCTTTTTTTTTTTTTTTTTTTTTTTTAACTAGTGCATCTCCAAGGGTAGAATTGTGAATTATGCATGAGAAGTGTTATAAAAGTGGAAATAAATTAATTGTTAGTACCTTTTGTTTGCTTGCTTCTACAATTGCCCTGTGCAGTTTTCAGATAAATGCTTGGAAATGAAATTGTGTTTTAAACCTTACCTTTCATGTATCTTGCAGCACTTACCCAGCCTTAACTCAGGCTGGGAATAAAGCCATTGGCACCATCAGATTGCATAGTGACATAGGTTTTATAAGTGGGAAAAAGAAGTGGTGAACTCAATAAGCAGTGACCCCACTTCCCTGGCTACTTTCCATCGTGTTTTTGGCTGCGCCAGAGGACCAGCTGGCTCCCTTCAGTCTGTATCTAAGATGATCTCTTTCTCAGATGATATGGACTTGCAATGATAGATAAGAGAAGTGAGAAATGCTTCCACATGATATTAATCTATTTGTCAGAATTGCAGCATTGCAGATGTCATGGGTGGAAAAGGACAGATGATCTTAGTGGTGATTAACCCCCAAAGGAGAAAACCAAACCCAGAAAGTAGCTGACTTATGAACCAGTGTGTTGGTGATTAGATTAAATCCCAGTCATGCAATCTATTTATTTCTGGCTAATAAAATCCCAGCTGGCTATCAGTAAAATTAAAGGTGTTAACTTGCAAAAATTTTCAGAGTAGCATGGGGGGGACTCCTCCCATCTGCTGGCTGTCTGGAGAGAGGGCATCGTGTGCTCTAGGCAAAAGGAGCCTTGAGAGGAGAGGATGGTCTGTCTGGTGCTTGTGTTGGGGTTTGCATTCATTGTTCTTCTCTCTTCTTCTGTCCACACCCCCATTCCCCACTTCCAGTTATTGAATTCCCTATCCAAAAACCCGGATGCTGACTGTAAATACGGGCTCTACTTCAGAGATGGCAAGAGGAAGGTGGACTACATCCTGGTTTACCACTACAAGAGGTCCTCAGCTGGGAAGACTCTGGCCAGGAGAGCTCAGCAGAATGATGCCTGTGTTCGAAGCACCAAGCAGGACCAGCCACTCCCTGGGAAGGGGGTGCAGCTGGAGATGGGGGAGAGTGAGCCTCACATGGATTACCACGAGGATGACAAGAGGTTCCGCAGGGAGGAATATGAAGGGAATCTTGTGGAGGCTGGGCTGGAGCTGGAACGTGATGAAGATGTAAGGATCCACTTGAAAGCATTAGAGAGGGTCACTGGTGGCCAGGTCCTGGGGGATGCTGAGCTGTGCCTGTGGACCTGGTTCTGATCAAGTTCAAGCTCAGCTCATGCAGGATTTGATTGCAGTTCTGGCAGTCAGTGCCATCTTCACCCACTGAGATTTAGTTGGCTGCACAGGAGTGTGTGCTATGGTGCTGTAAATGCCCCGATGAGGTGAAGTTCCTGACTTGACTTGGCCAGGATTTGTGGCACACCTACCATTGCAACACAGCTGTGTTGTGTTATCTGGAAGTGAAGCTGCTTAAATTGCTCTGAAAACTAATCCAAGTTTGGTGGGTTTACAGTATGCAGTGGTTTGGATCCTCTGGCAACTCCAGTTCTGAGAAAAAAAAAAATCTGATACGGGCGGTGTCATCTTTATTCCTCAATATAGGCTTGAGGAGAATTAAATTTGTTCAGGAGGCTCTGGTCCACACTCTTGCTGGAGCACATGGGTCTGTGTTACCATTTGCTCTTTCCATTCTTAGACATGAACAGTACAGCTTGTAACATCTTCCACCTGCACCCTGAAAACAGGATATTCTATTAAAAGTCCATTAGACCATGTAAAAAATGATGTATGTGAAGTGCAGCCAGTGTGTGATTAGTAGAAATAGACACAGCAGTATTCATTTCAAAGAAAGCTGCTACAACTATCTGAACCAACCAATGTGCCTCAGAATCCTGAGAGAGAGGGTAAACATTTATGCTGGTTTTATTTGCAGGATCTAAAAGTTGAGATAAACATTTCGACCTGGGAACAGACAGTAAAAAAATAAATCTGTCACCTATTACTCACAAATTACAGATATTTATATCTTTTCTATATTATATGTAATATATATACTTAGCATGGTACAATGCAAGACCACCCCAAAACCTTTCCCCCAGTGAAAATCAGACTTGCTTTCTGTCCACCTTGCAGGCTCCTGTAGCAAACAGGGAAGTTTGCCTGTGCCAACTCACAGATATTTGAATCCTTTGCCAGATGGGAGGTTCCACCTTATGATATGTAATGTGATTTCAAATGATGCAGAAGGGCTCGGGGTAAAGCCAGGACACTGTAAAAGAGAGGGAACCCTGTCCTTTCAGTGCAAGACACCAAAACACATAAGATAAAAGTGTAGAGATGAAAGCAAGACTCAGGGATTTACATCATATTCCACAGCCAGCATGTCCGTGTAGGGGAAAAGATCTGCAATCAGTTGGGCCTGGAAAGCCACAAAGCTTCATTGGAGACCTCAGTGATTCCAAAAGAGCAAAGGCTTCTTAAACAGATGGTGTTTAATAAATCACTTAAGCTCTCTGCAATGAAATGGCTGGATAGTCACACACAAAGAGTTGCAGTCAGTGGCTTGATGTCCATGAAAAATGGATTAAAACAAGGCCAGATTGGACACGGCTTGGGGAAGCCGGGCAGGAATGCTGGAACTCGATGTCCATGTCAGGAGTGTTGGAACTGGATGATCCCTAAGCTGTCTTCCAACCCAAACCATTCCACGGTCCTCTGAGTAACCAGTTTCTAGAGAGCTAGTAAGAATACAGCTGTGTTAAAGCTAGTTATTATAATCACTAAGTTGGTGCAGCAGCAAGATTAGAAAGATTCATTAAAGCTCCTTTCTCCTCTGCTGAATACCTCCTAGTCAGGTATCGTTTGCCCAGTGCCTTTGGAACAGTTGCTCCAGGGGTAGCAAACATGGGTGTATGTGGGAGTGCCAGGAGCAAACATCTGTGTCCGGCCCTCTAGAACACAGCTCAGAGAATTACCGGGCTACAGGCAAACCACTAATATTGCCAATAACTTCTATCCTCCTTTTGCTTTGTTTGGTAGAGTTCTTCCTACTGATTTTCCTAATCATAATGGTTTAATCAAGATACTCACATTTGATTCTGAAGCTGCTCCTCTGAGGTATGAGCAGCAGGAATTCTCTCAGCCCCAGCAATTACAACACACTCACCAAATCACACCATTTTGGCTGGATGCCTCTGCTTCAAATTTAACTGGCTCAGCCTGTATTTGTGTCTACAGTCATTAGCTTCTATTTCCCAAACAGTTTTTATGTGTTTAACCTTGTGGTAATTGCTCTGGGAGAAAATAGCATTTTTGAGACATATTCTATAGCAGCTCAGCACAGTGAGGTGTTCAGTGTTTGTCCTGTTGTTAGAAACCAACTCTCTCAAACAATTGAGATTTATCATGCTGGCCCTAATGGACTGCTTGTTCCTTAAATAAGAATGAATCATAAGGGGTAATGTGTTTAATTTCCTCTCATCAGCAACATTTTCCCCTGCTTTTTTTTAAAGACTAAAATCCATGGGATTGGATTTGTAAAAATACATGCACCATGGAATGTACTGTGTCGAGAGGCAGAATTCCTTAAGCTCAAGATGCCCACAAAAAAGGTGAGTCCTGATTTTTTTATTTTTCTCATGTAGGCATAGCTTAAACATATGTTCCTCTCAGAGCACCTTGCAAATGCAGACTTCTCTTTCCACGAGCATTTTAAAAACAATTAACTGATGTGGTCCAGAAATGAAAGTTGCAAATGTACTTGCTTGGGACAGCAGAAGAAAAAAAGTGGAAGAAAGAAAGGAAATCAAAAATTTCTGGCTGCTACCACTTATCTATACATGATGAGAGTGATTTCATCCTCAGTATGTTTTAAAAGAAGAGGTTTCAATTGAATGTGAAATTTCTGTGTGCCTTTTGGACATTTTTTTCTCACCTTAAGGCTGCTAAAACTGAACACAAGGATAAGAATTTTTCTCATGGTTTAGTGACTATTCATGTACACAGTCAGTCACGTTCGCAGGGTCTAGGACCACTCTACCACAAAATAAATTACCTTTCAGAATATTTGAAATATCATTAAAGGAATGCAGTATATTTTCATCAATTCTAAATCACCTGTGATAGATAGATAGATAGCTACCTGCTCAGTGAGCACAGCTCAGAGATGGATTAATATTTAAACACAGACTAAGTGCAGGTCCCAGACTGCACAGGGAAGTCCATAATGGAGCAAGAGACAGTCTCCAAGCCCAGTATCATTTATCACAACACTAAAACCACACTTTTAGTTTGGATTTCATATTAATCCCCATTATTGCCTCACTTACCAAGGATTTTAATCAGAAGCACAATTAGATAAAAAAGTCTGTTGCGATTCTGTGGTTCCCTAACCCTTGGTTTGACTTTCCCATCCCTTTCTTTCTGGATGATTTCAAGAATGTAAACCACACTCCTCGACAGTTTGTTGTGATATATTTATCATCTAATTGCTGGTTTATTCCTTACAGTTCATTCTGACCTATGGATAACCAAAAAGCAGTAAAGTTTTACTGTTTGTTTTTTTCCTCTTTTTTCCACCCTTCAGATGTATCAGATCAACCAGACCCATGGCCTCCTGAAAAAGATTAATTCTGTGATTCAAAAAATAACGGAGCCCATCCAGCCAAAAGTAGCAGAACACAAACCTCAGACAGTGAAGCGCCTCTCCTACCCCTTCTCCAGAGAGAAGCAGCACTTGTAAGTGAAAGCCTTCCCTAAATGTCCATGTGCACAGGTTCCAGCCCCTCTGACAGCAGCTCAGACACCAGAGGGTGAAAGGGAACATGAACACCAATACTTTGGTCGGCATTGCTGCAAAGGACATTTCCATTTTGCAGTAAATTTACTTTTTGCGGGATTTTTTTGGCTCACTGTTGAGGAATGAGTCTTTGCAGAGAAATCTCTGTGTGTTTTAGCTGCTGTTGTGGCACATAAAGTGCATCTGTATAACCATACGCTTTGGTTAGGCTGCCAAAAGGGGATTTATAATGTGGTTTACAACAGTCTCTTCTCTACGTTAAATAAAATGTTCAGTAAAACTTGTAGCTAGAGATGTGGGTTGATAAATTTCAGAATATTAATTCATATATCTGGTGTGGGCCACTGACACAGGTAGTGCCAACCAGGCCTTGCCTTTGAAGTGCTGTGAAGTCAGAGGTGGTTTTGCCATCGATCCCAGATCAGCAAGAACAGCTGTAAAATGTGGGTGTAGGGAAAAAATCATGAGGTAGAGCCCAGCCAAAGCTTCTCCTGCCCTGGATTGCTCTGCTGCTGCTCTTCCCTGGCCAGCATCCCAGAGGAGTTGCTTTGAAGGCCGTGTTTATGGATGTGCCAGCTGGAACGAACAGCAGTCCTAGGGCAGGATCTCTGCCCTGCACCCACAGGCTTTTAGTGTTCTGTCCAGAGATACAGAGCACTGATGGGCTTGGGCTAGTCAGTGTGTGGGACATTTTGGCCTGTCCTTGGACTTGCAAGAAATGTGTTTGTGTGTTTGCTGAGTGTAGGGTGTTCCTGGAGGTTTAGAGAAGATCCAAAAGATGCTCCTGAGTGTAGACATGGATGGGCCTCCATCCATGGAGGATTGCTTCCTCCACTGTTGGCAGGTGGCTTTTCCAGTGACACCACCTGTGTCTCTGCTGAATGAGGGAGGAAACAGTGGCCTCACGTGGAAAATTAAAGATTATGAGGGGAAATTCAAGGCCAGCAGTAGTCAGGGTTTCAACATAAATGAGAATCGGTGCTCTCTTTTATGCTGAAAAACCTATAAAGACATAAAACCAGTGAAATGTATAAGCAGCCTCTTTAAAGTGTGGGAGTTGGGTTGGACTTGCTTTTTAACAGGGTTTCTACAACCTGTTCTTTAATGTGAGCTCTAAGAAATCCCAAGGAGAAATGAAAATATTGAAGGGGTCAACAAGAAGAGGAAATTACTGACTTTTTTTTTTTTTTTTTAACCTAATGGGCTTCCTTCTAATTTTTTAACAGATTTGATTTGTCTGACAAAGATACCTTCTTTGACAGTAAAACGAGAAGCACTATAGTAAGTACTGCCTATAAATAATTTATGGTGGATATTACCTCAGTTGAGGTGTTAACAGCTTTAGTACAATGCATGTTCAAGTTTATCTTTCTTAACCAAATGCCAAGGATCTCCTGTGCCATCAGGTACTGAAATTATAAATAATTCCAGATTCAGTGCTGAGCAGTGTTTGATGCTGACAGGTTGCTGCCTTTGGGAAAATAATTTGGATCTTCTTTCTAGTTCATGGGTAATTTTTTTAGTAGAGATATCACCAGCTCGGTTTTAGATTTTACCACTCGTTCTGCCCACCAGATGCCTGCACCCATGAGTGGTTTAACTTTATGAAACTATACATCATTCTTTTTGCAAAATGCTGCTAAATATCCCAAAACAAATTCCAGCAAAACAGCAAAAAATGAATTTACAGGGAATATTATTTATCTTTTTTTTGCGGCAATTCTCTGTAACAGTACTGAAAGTGTTGAGCTTGATGGTTTTTATCTGACTGACAGAACATAAAATAGAGTTTGGGAAGAAGGTGTAGCCCCATTTATAACCACCAAAGGAGGAAGTGAAAGGCCAGCTCGTGTGACATCCAGGGCAGCTGGAAGGGGCCATGCCAAGCAGCCCTGGCTGCGGCACATTTCAGAGGACAACAGGGATTCTTTGCCCCATTCCACTTCTCCTAACTGGTGTCTTGGAACGTGACTGCCAGCATGCTTTTATCTTATATTTAACATCACCCTTTTAGGATGCCAAGTGGTTTCCAAAAAAGCCTATATCCCAGTCATAGCTGCCTTTCATTGCTGTGATGATAAGGGGTGAAAGATATCCAACTTCCCTCTCCTGCTCTGAAATTCCAGCTTATCCACCAGCTGTAGTTCCCCACCAGCCTGAAGAGCAGGGGTTTGATGTGACCACCGGTTATGGGGGCAAGGTGAGCTGGACCAGGGGATGCAGATGCAGGAGCATAGAAATGGGGAAAAAAAAGGAAAATATTGTTTTGGTTTATTTGCAAATAAAACATTAAACTTGAGATTGTGGGGTGGGAAAAAAGCCTGTGTTTTGTTTGTGGGTTTTCTTTTATATATCCAGATGTATATGAAAAAAAATCTTGTAAGTACAAGGAACTCAGCAAATGAAGATTTAAAATTCATGACAGGCTGAGCAAGGCAGCAAGACAAAATGGCTCCATGGAACCAAGAGGGTGAGCAAGACTGTCTGGAAAATGGACTGAAATAGGAGCTTAGAAGAGAGGCTGAGAGAAATAGGAGGGACAAGGGTTTTTTAAATGACTAAAGAAACACTGGGCATATAAGAATAATGCTGGTGCTGTGCTGCTTTGTGTGAAATCCCTGCAAATCACCCAGTAATGAAGAACATATTGAATGTTTCCCAACATCATTTTATTCTGTGTGCATTGCTGTTTGTATTCTTTTTTCTTAAAGTTCTCCCTTGCCTTTCTCATATGTATTTTTGAACCACAGTGCAAATATTGACCCTTCCGCCTACTGCAAAATGAACAGGAATCTAGTCACTAGCCATGAGTCTTTGACGAATAGAAACTAAGCCAAAGACCTTTTAGTTATTAAAAAAGAAAATAAAAAAAAAATTATATAACTGGAAATCTCTCTGTGACAGCCCTTTAATTCACTGGGGTTACAAGACGACAGACGGATGAGCTGTGGGACTTGCCCTGGATGCCCTCACTCGCTTCCTCCAGTGAATTGTGCAAGAGTCAAGTTAGCACACGGATTAGGGAGCTGGGAAACAGTCCCCAGCTCCCCGGACAAGCCAGGCAGTGCCTTTGCTCCAGGTTTCCCTGTGCTTGCCGGACAGCATCGCTGCACAGGAGCAGCTGAAAGCTGAACCTCACGGGCAGCCTGCTGAGCTGTGCAAAGGTTACTCGACAATAAACGCAATAAATCCCAAAATAAATACATCTGTTTTGCCACCGAGGTCAGGCAAGCTCAGAGATGTTAAGGTCAGCCTGTGTTAGTCCAGTTGGATAAACGGCTGTGTGCTGTGTACACGCTGTGAGCCCAGAGTTCTGCTCAGCTACTTGGGATGGAGCCAGCCTGCACCCTCAGAGGCAAGGGAAGAGCTGCTCCAGGTGAAAGAACAGCCTTGAGCTTTGATCGATGGCTAACACGAGCAAAAATTGCATTTCTGTTATGCCAGGGGGGTAAATGTAACCCTGTTTGCCCCCATCAAGTCTCCTGGTAGCTGACTATTTAGTTCAGCTTTTCTCTCCATTACAGAAAGCACAGCATGGAGAGCTCCAAGCCCCGCTCTCCTGAATACCATGACTTTTATTAAAGAATGATGACTTCATCGACATCTTGGCATGGCCAATATTTGAGCTATACACAAAAAGATTGTGCTTTTCACTGGCAGTGTCTGAAGTAACCCTTCCTTTTCTTTTGCTTCTGTAGGTTTATGAAATATTGAAAAGAACGACATGTACCAAAGCAAAATATAGCATGGGTAAGGATCTTTATTTAGCTTTAAGATCAATATCTTTTTCAGGTATTGAAAATAATTACATGTTGTAAATGGCTGTGGAGTTTAGGTTTTCCCCCTGCTATCTGATTTGATGTATGTGGATGTAATTGTTTTATTTGGAACTTTGATTCAATTTATGCAGCTGTTTGGCATTTGTTCAAAAGTGAATTTATAGATTAAACTCTAAATTAAATGGTAAGTGAGCATGTAGCCCCTGCAGATGTGACTTAGGATGGGTAGTGACATAAACCACGAGTGGAGATGTGCTCTGTGTTCTACACTCCCTGAAAGGGATTAGGATATTTCCATAAATCCAATAACTGCACTGGAAGTCTCTGGGTTGGCCCATTTCGGTCAAGCAGGAACCCCACATTTCCTAGTGGGATTGTTTTCCAGTGACTTGAGTGGAATGGCCTTGACTGATGACTGTCCTGAGCGGAACTGAGATGAACCCCTTGGAACAGCCAGGAGCTGAGACTTGCCCTGGAATTGGCATCTCAGCCCTCAGAACAGGTGCTGCAAGTCAGGGGATGTGAAGTTTGTACTACCACAACCAAGAGTTTTAGGATTTCAGCCCTAGTGTTTGTAAGGGTGCTGTAAGAATTAAACTCATAATGAAGATGAATTACAAATCAGGCCACCTTAAAGATTTCTTGGCAGCTGAGCCTGCTCAGGCATTATATACTTTATTTTATACGTAATACACAGATATACACTTGACCGTGGGACCAAAGTTAATAAATAGTTAATGGTAAATCCAAACAAATAAGTTGGAAGGGTGAATTCCCAAACAAAGTGAGAAAAGTTTGTGGACATGGAAGAAAATGTTTGGTAACTGTTGAAATCTTTTATGGCGTTTATTTGCCTACAAGCAGTTAAATAAAACAATAGGAACTTGAATTACAGGTAGTTCTGTTCAATATTGACCCATCAGCTGCTTAGAAAGACATCAAATAATAGAAGAACAATTACGCCACAAATTATTTCCATGCTTTGACTTTTGTGTTGAAGCAACAACATACAATGCACAATTGTTGACTCCTTATATACACTAAAATTTGGTGTCCAGCCAGTATTAACAGAAGTGCTGTTCTCTGTAGCATGGGAAATCCAAATTATTCTGTGACTTTCAAGACCCTTTTTGAGTCTGGTGCTGGATCATTTTCACTGGAAATTACATCTTTGGACTCTTGAAAGGGGAAGGTCACACAGCTCAGATTGAATTTTTGCCTTGGAGTTGGTTTCTCAGAGGATTTTTTTTTTTTTTTTTTGGTTTTGGTTTTTTGGTCCAGAAAATGGGAAACACAGTAGGGATGTAGGGATTAGCTGAATTGAGAAGACACTAATGGATGGTAGAGGGTTAGGATTCCTGGATGGTTCTTCTACCTGGGACTGGCAAGGCCGCAAAATATTGCTAATATAAATGCCATCAGGCCAGCCCAGCTTAACTCAATCAGCTCCTTTGTGTTCCAGTGCTGGAATGCTGGGTTATAACACAGCAGAGGTGGCAAACAAATTTAAACAAACACAGATAATGCTGCAGCACTGCTGCCCAGCAGGAAAAAAGCAGCTGCCCAGGGGAACACTGCACCCTTTGTTGTTTATTAGGAAAATTTTGTGAAAATGTGAATCTGGCTTCACTGTTAAATCCAGGTCTGTAGTAGAAGGGGACTATGTAGCTCTTCTCACAGCCCTAGAAAAATAATTTATCTGCTCACTGGTTGTTTCTGCCAGGAGTGTGGAAACATTTGCAGACAATTCATAGACCTGTATAATCTTAAATAGGGCTTTGAAAATTAATGATACCACAAGATACTGAGCACTCCTGGAGCTGCTCCTCCAGCAGGTGATTAGTATCTCAAAAATGTTAATGAACTTGAACAATCCTCATTTCAAGAGCAATCAAAAATGACTTTACAGTGAGCTGGTTCCTGGTTCATGGTCGCTGTTCCTTCAAACCCAGTCCCACACTTTTTTCTTAGCCATGAGCTTAAGGGCAGCATGGAGCACACTGCAGCACCTCATTTTTAAAGTCTTTTAAATCCTCCCCAATGCCAGATTTATATTATATATATATATGTATGTTTATATTTATGTTTATATATATTTTTATATTTTTTAATTTTTCCCCCCCCACTTGGCATTAATCACCATTGCCCTGAACAAAGACAAGTGCTTGACTTAGCTCTGACTCACCACCCAAAACTGGTTCATTCCATCCCCAAATGTATGTTTATGGGCAACATGACACCTCCAGATGTGGTGAACAGAATTGGAAGTAGCTCTATTAAAGCCAGCAGCTGCAGGAGGAAAGAACATTAGGGAATTAATGAGCTACATCCCACCAAAGTCCCAGGTCCAGCCACCTTTGGGAATGGTGCAGTGCTCATCCAAACTTCCACACCAACTCCTCCCTCTGGCCCTGGTTAAGGAGTGACATCCCCCCGGGAAAGGCAGAACTCCTCCCAGTCCCTTGTGCCACAGACATTTAATAGATGAAGCAGTAATTGCTTTCAGCCTCATGCATGTCACTAATAAATGGCTGTGTAAACAGGGAAAGGAGAGGGAAGAAAGAAGGAAACTGCCCTTTTAAATAAAAGACGAAAATGTGGTAAATATGGTAAGTATTATGCCAAGGTCTTTGCAAAGGCTTTCCCTACAATTTCTCTGATCAGTCTGAAACCTGAATTCAAAACTTTGTGTGGGTGATGCGTGTGGATGTGGGTTCCCCTATGCCATCAATTCCAGACATATTCTCCTTGTGATCCAGCCTTCTGCTTCACTTACAAATCTTCAGGCTTGCCCTTAAATCAAACTGACTTTTCAGAAAATGTAATTTATTTTAATGACTAATTTCAAGTCATTGGCTTCTAATTCTTGATTCTCAAATATATATGACTTCCTCTTGCTCTCTGCAGTTTTCCATTTTATAAAATGAGTCATGTATAATAACCTATATGATTAAAAATGAAACTACATGGAAAGGAATGAGATGGCAGCAAAATCATTATCTGATAAAATGGCTGATATTTTGAGGGAAATCTCCAGGAAAGATGATGAAGTGAGGCTGTCTAACCTTGAAATTATAAATAACTATTATGTCTTTATTTTTCAAGGGATCACCAGCCTGCTTGCCAATGGAGTTTACAGTGCTGCATATCCTCTGCATGACGTAAGTGATCTTGCAATATATTTTACGCGTCTGCTGTCTGTCACCAAGAAATCCCTCATGTGTGACGTGTTGGTGGCATGATCCCAAACATGACTGACTTTCTTCTCATTTGTGTCACGAGTGCAGTAACTTCTGCAGGTTGTTTCCATCCTTCTGCTTGCTTTTAAGGAATTCTCCACCTCTGTTCTACACCTGATCATAAATTTGAACTTAACATTAGAAGAGTTTGTTTCCTGACTTTCTGCCCCCAAGATCCCTGGCACCAGTGCCAGGAAACACATTAATTCCCAGGATACCAAGTAGCTAGTTCCCTTGGCCACTTATCCCTGCAGAGGTGTCAGTAGCCGTGTGTCCGTCCAACCAGGAAAAACCATAAGCAAGGATCTGATGTCACATATTCCATGGGGCTGGATGTGACTGCAGACCTTCCGATTGATGAAATCTGCTTCTTAGCAGCTCAGTGAGATGTCAAGAGTGTGTTCAGCTGTGGTGCTCATCAAGCAGGTCAGTGAGAACTCAGGAATTCTGGTGGCACACAAGCCAAGCCAGGAATCCCCATCCTGTCAGAGGTGCACACAGCTGGGTGCAGGTGTCCTTCTGATTTAGAGATTCAGGGTGCAGCTAGAACTGACAAACACATGCTCTTAGCCTGCAGAAAAGCTTGGCAGATGTCAGAGGGACTGGCAGTCATGCTGCTCACTCCTGAGGTGAGTGTGAGTGTCCAAGGGCTGTCAATCCCAGTGCTGGATTTCCAGCCTGGGATTTGAGGGTGAAGTGTGTCTTCCTGGTTTTCTGCTCCCCACACTGGTTTTACATGGGACTGTGAGAGCTTTATCTTGGTGCACCCAAGAGAAGAGCAGCCTCTTTGTCTGCCTGATGTTTGTCATACATATTAGGGCTCTCAAACTACAGCAGTGCTGTGTAGAATTTGAGAAAGAAGGTTAAATAAACTTATCTTCCTGTTCTTGCCTTACATTTTCAGACAGCTGCAGATAGTCTTGTATAGTAGTTATTTATTTTTTTAGTTTGCTCAAAAAATAGCTCCAAATTAAAACCTCAAATCTAATCAGCCCTGAGTGTTTGGAGAGACTGGAGAGGGAGCAGCTCACTAAGCTGGTTTCTCCTCTTTCCAGTGGACTGAGCTGAACCCCAAATACCATGGCAATGCGGCATCCTTTCCCTTGACATTTTTAGGCCACCTTTATCACTTATTCATTCCTTTCCCCCAATGACAGACACTTTTGCTCTTTCCTAATGTGCCCAACGACAGAAGACAAAGTGTGCCGTGACAAATGAGTTCCTAAAATACTGCATTATTTTACAGATTGCTTTTTCTGGTTTTGATGCATTAAGTGAGTGGGAGATGTGGGTATGCAGGATGCCGAGCAGTTCTTGGCACAACCCTCTGGATGACGCAGATTTTCTCTCTCTTTAAAGGGTGACTATGAAGGTGAAAACGTGGAGCCCAACGACAGAAAAGTAAGTTGATGCTCAGGGAGGTTGAACGTATTCACAAGAATCCCAGCCTGAAGAGTCACCTGTTGGAATCTGGATGTTTTTGCCAAGATCCCACAGAAAATGCTGCAAAAAGGCACTAAATGCCAAGCAGTTTAAGAAAAAAAGTGCTTTCTAGCATTTAAATTTGGCCAAATGTGGAATGTAGTGTGGATATGTATGAAGTACCCAACTCAGTAATGATATATTTAATGCCACATTGGTAAGAATATTGACATATAACTCCTCCTAAAATTCAGATTATGTCATTTCAGGCTGGCTCTGATGAGAGTATGCTCAGTCATATTCTGGTATCTGTATTAGGCATAAATCCTACTTCATTCTGTGCCATGAGGATCAGAACTGCAGGAGTGGGAGGCAGAGGCAGTTGAAAACATAAGCATAAAAGTGATTGGAAAATAAATACTGGATATTTATCAGGAATAAGAGGTCCTCAACAATGTTTTAATGTGTGCTTTGCAGCCAGAAGCTTCCCCATGGATGTACACTAAGGCATTGCATCACCTTTTGCTGAAGTTAATGCTTTAAATTGTGGTTTTATTGTCTGTATAGTGAAAGACATTTGTTCACTGTGGTTAAACAAGTAGGAATTATCCCAAGGAAGTACTTTTCTTAAGGAAGTAGGAAATAGTACTTTATAGTAAGCAAGTAGGAGTGAAAAACCAAATTTTCCACTCTTTATGGAAATGCTGATTTCTTAAATTCAAAGCTCAGTGACTGCATCCTCCACCAAAGAAAGGGTGTTTGTTTCGTGATTTTTTTTTCTCCGAAGAAATACTCTGAACATTCAGGTCATAGGAAAGGCAGATTTAAAGACCTTCAGGCTTTATATATAAAAACAGGTTCCCAAAATTGACAGTGTGCTGATCCTTCAGGTGCAAATGGTTCGTCAGAAGGCAGTGAATGTTATTTCCCTCCCTGTATTGATTTGCGTTAAAAATACCACACATCTGTCTTTTCATTATTAAGCAACGCATAGCTCAACTAAAAATAGAATGTAAGTCCATGTTTTCTGAAAGTGTCCAGATAATCTTCTTCATTACTAACATCTCAAACCTCACAAATTCACTAATTTCACAAGCTAATTTCATGTTTGGAAGTGTTTACCTTGGTTTTTGACTTTCAGTTCCATCAAATAATCTTTTGGTGTGTTTTGGCATGTCTCTTCTGGTTTCTTGAAGCTTTCTTGAATCTTATCCAGTACTAGGCCGGGTCTGAGCCTTATTTAACAAGAAAATGAAAGATTTGAGGCCTAGAAATGAAGTAAATATTTAGGTCCAGTGTGCTAATCTCCTCTAATCACATCTTTGAAGCTGTGCTTTGAATATCAGGCTGATAAATGTCAGGATAAATGAGATAATTCATTTGTACTTTAGGCACAAATCTGGTTTTGAGTTGCACAAAACTAAAACACAGCACTGATGCAAAATCTCCTTAGCTTAGTGTTTTCCTGATATGCCTGGCCAGCTGAGATCACAGAGAAGGAATCTAATTTCCAGCATAAACTTAGTTTTAAAGATTAAATTTTAAAGTATATGTATAAAGGGAAGGTGCTTAGCTAGTGCTGCATGTGGATGTTGAGGCATCCCAAATCATTGCTTCCCAGACATAGGCAGTTGGCCTTAAAACTTTGGAAAATGTGGTTGAAAGAAACCTAAAGCAGAATAAAAATAAAATTTGCAAGAATGCTGCTGTTTAATAGAGACCTGCTGTTAAGTTTCAGTTCCTGCCCTTACTGTTGTAAGGAAATTAATAATGATGAATGATTTTGGGTTGCAGAAGGGAAAACCCACAGCCCACTTACATTTTTGACGTCATATTTCTGTAAAAGCTGAGAAATTGCGTTTTTGTTGGTTTTTTTTAATGAGTCAAAGTATTTCTATAAGTACAGCACTTCAGCTTGGAAATTCTCTGTTAATGGTTTGGCAGGAGAATTCCAAAATTGCTATAGGAACATTGTTTGCTGTGGGACTTGTCTGTGATCAAGTGTGAGGAGGAGGAATGGGCATGGGCAGTGGCCAGGCTCTGGTCTGCCCTTTTTATTTGCTACATTTCACTGGAGTCATGTAGGAGTTTGACATCTGTCAAGTTTCCCATGATAAAATAGTCTGGAGTTTAGGGAATAACATCCTGTTTGGTCTAGGAACAAGATTAATCCTGTTACCCTCCCTGTACTGATACTGGTTTTGGTCTTTTTTCCCCATTGAGTTTCATTTCTTGTTCACTCTGTTGGCTGAATTGAATGAGGGGAAAAAAGTCAGGTTTGAGAAGCACTATTTAAATATTTTACAAAATAAAAGATAAGTTGAAGGTCTCAGAGGAACCTATTTTTGTGAGGCATTCAGTTTCGCAAATCAGTAACGGGGATCATTATTTTCCTTGGCCCACATCCTGACAAAAAGGAAGAGTGGAAATCATTGGCTTCTTGTGGTTTAAACTTGAAAAAAAAATTTTAAATGCAGCCTTTGAGGCACCTCAGCCCAGCACATCTTGCTGGATGCTGAATTATGGCAAAATGGCCTGTAGTTGTGTCAGGGGAGGTGGAGGTTGAATGTCAGAAAAAAGGTTCTTCCCTCAGAGGGTGACTGGGCCTGTGGGTCACAAAACCAGCACTGCTGTCCCTGTATCTGCTGTAGGTATCCATCAGCCCAGCTGCTGAAGAACCTTTTAACATGCTGGAATTCATCACTCTGTTGGAGCACCCCAAACCACATGTTTACTTTTAGTATTTAATGCAGGCTGCATGTGTTGCCATGATTTGGGCTGAAACCCCAACGTGGTTGTTGTGGGCCTGTGGGTCCTGCAGCAGCCAAAGGAGAACCCACTGGTTCTTCAGCTCTCACCTTTCTCTTGCCTTTCTGTTTTCCAGCTCCTGTGTGAGGAGTGGGCCAGCTATGGAGTGTTTTATAAATACCAGCCCATCGACCTGGTGAGGTGAGAGTTCAGCCTTGGTGTGGAGTCTCCACAGGACAGAGATGGAGCTCAGCAGGGATGCTCATGCCCTGTGCCCCCAGGGGGATGCTGCCCTCAGTGCCACCCCTGGGGGATTCCAGAGAATGGGAAATGCACTGGGAGAAAAAGGGTTTTCTGTGAGTTTAGAATGTGTTGATATATCCCACATAGCGTGAAAGCTTGTGGGGATATATTTCTAATTAATTTTGTTTTGTCATGATAAGACCTGAGACTCTCTGAAGAAAATTAAGTGCCTTTTTTAAGAGGATTCACTCACTGAAGGTCCAAAGATACCAATTTGCACAGCAGAAACACAGTAGGGGGAAAAAATGATCAGTGGGACAAACTTGTTTTTAGGGTGCTTGTTTCTCTGGATGGACTCCAAGCATCATGAGAAAGAGAGTCCTCTGAGAAGAAAAAAATTCCCACAGGTCATCAAATCTTAACTTTCTCCATGCCTAATCCAGATGTGATTCATAATTTTAGCCACGTTATATTTTAAGAAATAGGGAACATTTCTCTCTCTCATTTCTTTTTCTCTTTTCCTAAATGTATTTCAGAAAATACTTTGGAGAGAAGATCGGGCTATATTTTGCCTGGCTGGGAGTTTATACACAAATGCTTATTCCAGCTTCAATTGTAGGGATTATCGTTTTCCTGTATGGCTGTGCAACTGTGGATGAGAATATACCCAGGTAAAGTGGATGAATAAATAAATTCTATTGTTGGAGGGCACTTCAAGCTCAAAGTTGCCTTGCCTTAGAAATGTTTTGTGAGTAATATCTAGGCCAAGCACAGCTGAAATTGGGCTTTCTTGTTCCTGGGTCTTGTCCTGTGCCACCCAGATTCCAACACCCCAATCCCTGTTCCCATCTGTGGCAGCTGGCTGTTGCAGCAGGATGGTGTGCTCCTAAAACTCTCCATCCTCAAGCTTCATCTTGTGGAAGCTGTGCTTAAAATTAATCTACCTCCACAGGCTCCTCTGGTCTCAGCTTCCAGTAAGCCATGGAGCTCTCCCAAAGGCACAGAACAACCCATTTCTCTCTCATTAGCATTCTTTGTTAATATTACTTGGGGAGTTTGCATTGATGTCCTAAAAATAATTCTTGGCCGGTTTCTCAGGTGGTTGGGTTTTTTCCCAAACTCAGATCATTATGTTAAAACAAACCAGCAAAATTCTGCTAATGAGGGGGTTTGGTGCTTCCCAGCAGAGAGTGCTGAGGAGGGCATTATGTGACAGAGAGATGCATCAAGAATATACCTCCCTCAAATAAGCTACCGTGATCACATCAACAAAATCTGGATGCCCTCCTACTTTTAATCTTTCAGCAAGTTTTGTATTAAAACATTTTTAAAGCCCTCTAATTTTGCATTATTCGCCCTGCATGCATCATCAGCTGGAGATGCAAATTACACGGTCTGTATGACAAGCACCAGCCCTGAATAACAAAGCAGATAATGAGTACCAAAAAAATAGATTTAATTTTTTTGTTGTTCATTAGCATTGCTTTGTAGTGCTTCCAACAGTTAAAGAAAGTCAAAAGGAGGGTCAGTGTTGCTATTTCACAGATGGAGCACAGAGGAGATAAATTGGTTGAACTCCAGTCTCTTGATGTTCAGCACTTCCCTTGTACCTTATCTATCACTGTAGTTTCAAAACAAGAGTGTTTTATTTTATTTTTATTTATTTTATTCTGTAAGATCTTAGAGTAAAAAGCACGGAGCCTTATGGCTTTCTTAATTTTTCCTCTTATTCTCTGGAATGGAAATAGAGCTGGGGAAGGAAGGAGGGAGGGAGACAAGCCTTACATGAGGATTTCAGCCCCTGCAGTGGTGTAGGATTGCATCCAGTGATCCCACAGAAACAGCTGCTGTCCAGAGGAGAAAAGATCACCACAGCACAAAGCTGGAGCCATCCTGACCATGCTTTTCCCTTCTCTTGTGGTTTTGTTGCAGTATGGAGATGTGTGACCAGAGAAACAACATCACCATGTGTCCCTTGTGTGACAAAACGTGCAGTTACTGGAAGATGAGCTCTGCTTGTGCCACTGCCCGTGCGAGTCATCTGTTTGATAACCCTGCAACTGTCTTCTTCTCAGTCTTCATGGCTCTCTGGGGTAAGAAGATCTATGCCTTAATGTTAAGCTTTTAATTATTGAAAATACAACAGGAAGAAACAGAGGAGATAAAGCCGTATATTTATACACAGGCAGTTAATGATACAAAGAACATCTTTTTTTTTTTCTTTTTTTTTTCCTTCTTCCTTTTTTTTTTTTTTTTCTTTCCCATGAAACTGTCACACCCAAATTTATATTCTGGACTGGAGGCTAAAATTCAGAAAGTTGCTCAAGCTGAATGGCAAATGAAATTGTTAAGCATCTGTCATAAAACTGCTGTGTGGTATGTCAAAATTTCATTAATGGGATTGCACAGCTTGCCAAAAAAAAAAAACCTCTTTGCAGAGCCAGCTTCCACTTTAGAACATTACAGAAGAAATGTATTAATATACTCTGGGGTTGAGGGGAGGGCTCCAGGGGGAAGTGTAATGGCCTTTAGTGTCTTCAGGACAAACCAACATTGATTCCTGAATGTGCTCCGAGATGCAATTAGGTTTATCAGCAGGCAGACATCATGCAAGGAGAATGGGAAGAGGGAACAATGGTGGAGAGGGATTTTTCCTGATCCTGATGCTGCCCTCATGCTTTGAGCCCTTTCTGGGCGTGTCTCTAGCGCTTGGGTCAAAATAAGAACCTTTTCATGTAATCTTTGTGAGGATGTCTTCAGGAATGGTTATGGAGGGCTTCTCCCCTCCCTGCAGGGGGAGGGATGGGGAACCTCCTTGCTCCAGGAATGGGGCTCTGGGGGAGAGGAGCTTTGATGGCCCCATATTCCCAGCAGCAGTGAGAGCAGCACAAGCCTTCCTGTACACCTTGTTGTGAATTAACATAACCTGTTCTACATTATATTTCATCCTAATAATATGATCTGCATTTTTATCTCTTCCAGAACAGAGGGAACTGTTTGTACATTACCATTCACTGAACTGATTTAAGTATAATTCAACATAATTTAATTTAAATTTTTGGCCAGGGTCTGTGTTTGGGATTACATTGTTTTAGATGCAGCACTGAGGGCTTATTATCAAGTACCACAAGTAAAGTCAAGTGTCAGCTTTGGTCTCCCTCATTTACCATTATTGTGAGCCCCACATGAATCTTGGCATGTTATCCTCTTGTCCAAAAAGTAAAAGTTTGCCTCCCTTTTCACAGCAAGCAACTATGGGTCTCTTCAACCATTTTTTTACAGTCTTGTGCAAAGTAAAGCAGATTGGCAGAAGCCAGGTCCTGGGCCCTGCACAAAATCTGAGAGGGTTTTGCAGTGGGCTGTCAAACTCCTCAAGCTCTTTGGAGTCAACATAAAGTTTTATTGTGATACAATACCATATAAACCAAACGTTTCAAAAAGGTCTTTTTCAGTCCACATAATTTTGAATTTGTGTTGTTAAATTCACATATGATTGCAATAGGAAAGTGCAGGTACTCATGGCAGAGGAGACATGCAGCTCCCCAGCACCTTCCCCCAGGGCTCCCAAAACAACACAGCATTCCAGACACTGTCCTCTCCTTTTGCCCTGCTGTAAATCATTGCCACAGGAGGATTTCCAGTAGCATCTCATTCCTTTTCCATACCTCTGGCTGTAAATGGAAGCTGCAGCCCTCACCCAGCGTGAGAACTGCCGGCAGCGAGGAGAGGAGAGGTAATTCCAGGCCCTTGAGACAGGGACCCTCTCAAGACACAGCTCTGGCCACCCTGATTCACAGGAAGCCTGTGGCTTGTGAAGGGGATCAGCTGTAGCTTTTCCACATGAGAGTTTCTCTTGGAAAGCAAATGAATGTCATGGCCCCAGCCTGGCTCCAGTCAAGAGGGTGTCTTTTCCTCTCTGTTCAACTTTGTTACCCTCTCCCTGCCTCTGTTTTTTTCTGGATATGAATGTTTCTGAGCACATCTGTTAATACTCACTGTGGGAAGCTCCCCTGGGAACACCGTTTCTTGGTAGACTTGCCTCTTTCATAATCACTTATTTATTATACAACACTGGTGTATTCCCAGCATCTAAATATGTCCTCTGAGAACTTGCTCGGTCTCAGGGGCAGATAGACTGATATAGACTGGGATCATTCATGGGGACTCAAGAATTGCTTTAACAAGGTTTTTTTCTTTGAGCCTTCTCTGTCAAAAAGAAAATGGCTGGGTTTTTAATGATTAAAACTCTTAAAGGCTTCCTCTTTCACGCCTGCCCACATGCAGCTTTCACAAAAGTGATGGTTTGAGTGTGATGATTAGAGCCAACTGCACTATTGTGACCACTGGGTGAATGTAATTATAGTGATATGAAAATGCTTTATGTTGATATCTTTGAGGGGATAACTCTGCCATCAGTACAAGTGAAATCATTCCTATTTTGTACACACAAGATTCAGGTTTTTTGCACTCACAGATGAAACAATATGCAGTTGAAGACCAGTAATATAATTAGTCACACATATAAATATTTAAATAAGTTTGGCCACCTGGCTTTCTTAGACCCCTTAAAAATTGCAGGTCTCTTCCTACATGAAGTTGTGGATGTAACAAAGGCACTTTTTCAGCTCACCTGGATAAAACATTTGGTTCCTGGCACATTAGTGATTCCCACCCAGGCCTGACTGCTGAATAAAAGAAAGCAGAAATGAAGTTATGTGGTAATCTGTGTTATATGTTAAACTGTTGTTTCAGCTGCCACCTTTATGGAGCACTGGAAGAGAAAACAGATGCGTCTCAACTACAGGTGGGACCTGACTGGGTTTGAAGAGGAGGAGGTTTGTCCCTTCAGTTCTGAATCTTTGCCTTCCACCCTGCTGTTGCCCTGACCTTACAGACTTTGCCTCATATTCCTGGGAGGGTTCCATCCTACAGGAGGAAGGAAAATCCCTACACATGAACCATTTGAGGTTTTTGTAGCAAGGGCATGACTAGTCCAGTCCTGTTGCCATGGGAACATAATTGTATAGCCACAAAATGTGATTTTTTTTCTTTTTTTTTTTTTTGGAAGTGTGTAGTGGGGTCACACCTAGCAGTGTAGGCATGGAATATACAGCTCAGACCTTCTGCTGGGCTGAAGTCAGGGTGCCAAGAGCCAAGGACCTCATTCATCACACACTGCTGTAAATCAGAAATGAGTGCATTGAAGCTGATAAAGTTACAGTGCTGTAAAAAAAGCACTGAAAAATTCCTATTAACTTTAACAATGCAGGATCAAGCCCTGACTTGGAAAATACCTCAGAAAGCATTGCCAGATATGTGGGCTTGAGGGATAGGGAGGGACATGGTGTGGAGGTAGTGGAGTTTTTTGCAGTGCCTAAAAAAAAATAATATCCCTGGCCAGGTTCATACTAAATCTGCTAAAGAGCATAAAGGAGAAAAGGGCAAAATCTGTATGAAAAAAGATCTTCAAAATCAATTAATTTCTAGAAGGAAAGGAGAGAAAATCTTCAGTCAGCTTAGAAACTGTTTCCCACCTTTTCGGTTTCGATTTTGCCGCTTTACAGAAAATAAAGGAGGCACCTTCCCAGAGCAGAGCACAGTCCCAGCCGCCAGCCTTACCCTGCTGTTGTTATTAAAAGAAGTATGACCTCCCTTGTCATGTCTCTAGATGTCCTAAATAGATACACAACAAATAACGCTCACGTGAAACACAAACCTCACCAGCCCTCCCTGGGTTTGATACCCTGCAGCTCGCTGAGCCTGGCATAGCCATTTCTCCCCTTGCCCCCCAGAGCCTTTCTGTTGGAATTATCTCCTCTTAATATGTTTATGTCTTCCATAATATATTTAGGTGCCCTGTTCCAGCAGCCTCTGCGCTGGTCCATACCTATTTACTGGGGGAGAATATAGGGATTTATTTCCTGGACACTATATGCTCCTTTATTTTTGGTAACTTGTTAGTATCCATGAAAGTGGAGAGGATTAAGTGTATCTTTCCAATGTCTGCTTCATGTCTGAGTTCAGAGCTCTGCACAGCCAAACCAGCAGCTGTCAATTCCGTATATTTTATTCCATGTTTTTGGTGGTCAGTGATGAATAACACAGTCATGGGTTTAGCACAGAATTTAAGATCCTCCTGTTGCTGATTTGGGGGAAACTTAAGCCAGAATCACAGTCAGGGTTTCGAGTGTTCAATGAAATGAATGAAAATGAAATTTCAGTGAAATGGTAAAGCACGAAGTTTCTCATTTTCTGATGTTTCTAGGGATGCCTGGTTCACACAATACTTGCAGTAATGTTAATTAATATAGAACATGAGTAGACTGGGTTTTCTCTGGTAGTGTCTAAACATCCACTGTACCTATGTTTGTTTTATGTAACTTAATATATAAATACAATATGACCTGCAACAGTTCAGTAATCAAATTTTTGTTTATTTGTTTTTTGTTTTTTCTTCTTTTTCGTGGTTTTTTTCTGGTTTCCTGAAGGAGGCAGTCAAGGTTTGGAAAACATTTTTTTTTTTTTTAAATCGCTCCTACCTTTTTTATTCCATATCTACCGATGAATGCCATCTTTTGATCTCCATTTCTCCTTTTTCAAGCATCAGATTTTCTTTGGAACTCCCACTGATTGCTTTGCCTTTACACCCTTCCCCTCTCCACTTGTTCAGACTTTTTTCAAGTCCGTTCTGTTTCCCATCCAATGCATAATTTTGAATTCTGACTCTTGTGAATGTGTAATTATCGGGAATTCTGAATCCATGAATCTTTCTCAATCTTTTGGCTGTCTCTTACTTCCAAGTGTTTCCTGCACCTTCTCCTGCAATGCAGACGGAGAATCTGTGGATGGTGTCCAGGACAGAATTAGGGGAACACCCCAACTGACAATTTTATGGGATCCTAAAGCCAAGTATTTTGCATACTTACAGCAGAAAATTAGTCCCCTCATGAGCTGAGGATCACTGAAATTAGTTAATGACATTTAACTTTTATCAAAACTAGGAGTAATGAAAATCCAAGTATCATGAGCCATGCTGTCTGCAGGTTGTGCTACATGTCACATTTATTAAAATTTATCTACACAACACTGCACATTGCTGTCCAAATCATTCTGTAGTTGCTCCTGTAGACACACGATTTAATTTTTTTTTAATTGTAGTCAACTATCAGTTGACATGAATGACATACCAAGTGAATTGGCATTCAGTTAGAAAACTCAGAAGTTACCAGGAAATCAACCTGCAGAGACTTCATCTGTAATAATGTTGCTTTTCTATTAAATATGACTTCTTTCACAGGATCATCCAAGAGCAGAATACGAAGCGAAAGTTTTAGAAAAATCACTGAGAAAAGAACACAAACATAAAGAGGTATGGTAAAAATATTAATTTGTTTCACTTACGAAAAAGAAGGTTGTTACAGCAGGCAGTGACCCAAGACTAAGAAATAGGTAAAAAATAGTCAGTGCTCACTGTATTTAAATTCTGGGTGTCTTCATCCATACATGAGATGCTCAGGGTCTGCCAGGCACAGGACCTGATTAAATCTAGAAATGCCTCTCCTAATTAGATTCAGGAGTGTGTCTCAGGGAAACTAATTTAGCCTCATCAAAGACGTGCTCCTCTAGTGCTAATAAATCATGTTTGAGAAAACTGTAATAAATCAAGTTTCAGAATACTGTAACAAACTATCTTGTTCTGTGCAGTAAAAGTACCTAAAGCCTCTCAGAAGAAGGTTCTCTGTCTTGCTGGACTTTCTCTGCAAATAAAAATATTAATGAACAGTACTAACTCTGATTTCCATGCTGAGTTCCAGCTTTGGCAATAACTTTCTTGTAAAATAACACAGCTTCCCCTTTTATCCTGAACAAGGCAGTGCTCACTTGTGCTCTGAACTCGGTCTTTACATCACTGTGAGAAAGGTGCTGCCAGTCACCCCAGGAGCATCTGCCTCTTGCCAAGGGATGGTACAATCCCTACAAGCAGCTTCCCTGCCCTGTCACTGGAGCTGGAATTCCTTTCCTGTCAGCAGCAGAAAGCTTTGGAAAAGCTCCTTTTCTCCCCTGCACACTTATGACCCCATCCTGCCTGAGGTTATTCCCCCTTCACTGGAGGAAGTGAGCCATTTGTGTGCCATGATTTTAATGAGAGAAGTAAAATCTCCAGCATAAAATTTGGCAGAATTACCTCTCTTGTGTCTGTTGCCAGTGGCACCACAACGTGGAACTGTTCCCTAAATTGGGATTTTATGACAACCCTGTGAAAATACAACCACAGTAACATTTACACTCTTTAGGGGAAGCACATATAGATGAGAATTAGAGTAAATTTATACTTGAGCACCGCTGGGCCCCTCTTAAAAGATGCTACAGAGCTGCTGCTGGTGTGTTCCCATTAATCTAAAGAATGCTGTGTATAAGTGGTTCAGGGCCATAAGCAAGTCAAATCCCTTTTTAAATCCCTCTCAGAAGAGAAACAATTTGGGTTGCTGCACTATGATAGGCTGGATGGATTTTGGTTACAGACTTCACTGTATTCTGCTAAAAACCTGTAACTTGCTGTACTTTTGAGTATAATCAGAATTAGGGTCTTAGATGTGGAAGACTAATCAGACAATTAATGAATGGTGACCCTCTAATATTGGAGAATGAAAGATGAGCAATTAAGAAAGGATTTTTTTTTTTTTTTAACCAGACTATTTATAAGTTTTTGGGCTGTGTTCAATTTGGATGTTACTAATTTGGGAAACGTGAGAAAAAGAGGTTTTTTCCTGAAAGACTCGGTGGTTATCGTTCATTGGGATCTTGTGTGTTAAAGTTCAAATTTGACAGTTGTAATACTTGGAAACCTTGTTAAAGAAAAAATATCTAAAGCTAAACCAAAATTGCTTATAGCTTTTTCAAGAGAAGTCCAATTGAAAAATTAAAGGAAAAAAAAATTTGGACATTCTTTATACTTCATAAAATTGAAAGCAGAGCACAGTCCTGTATCAAAAAGGGAGTACCCTTTGCAGGATTGTCTGATGTTCCCTAGGATTTGAGGCAAGCATTTTTCTTCTGTTGATATTATATTTTATTAATTTAGAGCTGAAACACAAAGCCTTAAGCAAACTTACAGAGCCTTCACTTGTGCTAAAGTGCTGTGTCAGTAGAGAATATGGAATTAATTATTGGAATTAATTAACTGGAATTATTGGAGCAGTGCTTTGTAATGCCATATTGCCCAACCCTTTTCTGTTTCCTTTGACTGCCATCAGAAGCACCGATATTTTCCAGAGGAGACAGCAAACAAATGGAGACAAAGAGTTAAGACAGCCATGGCTGGGGTGAAATTGGTTCTTTTTATTCAAACTTATGAAGAAACTCAAATTATGAGTAATTATGGAAGAGACAAATCAATTTGGTTTTGGCTGTTGAACTTCTGTTTAATATTCACATTTAGTTCTGGGTTTCTTCCCCTTCCTCCCCTCATTCCTTCAGCACTTTTTGGGACACTGGTGTATGAGTTGGGAATGGCACTGCATGGCTAATCTTAGATTTTCCATCCTGGATGTTATGTTTTGCAGGGGAGCATGGGCCATGTGTTGAAAGAGCTGCTTGCACTTCCCTGAGACAACGTGCTTGTCATAAAAATAGAATTTGAGCAATATTTTTATGTGCATTACGATGTGCACATCATCTTCTGCAATGTTCCTTTTGCTGTTGATTTTCTGGTGTTTTGAAACAATTCCAGGCATCCAAGTTTATGAAGGACTCCAGAGGAGCAACGTTCTCCTAAATTAGTATTTTGTAGCCAAAATTCAGGTAGTGGCTGATTGACTGGATTTAGGGAATTTGGAGAATATACAGAGTTGTTACATAGAAAATAACAAAATGGTTTGGGTTGGAAGGGACCTGAAAGATCACCTCATTCCAGCCCCCCTTCTATAATTCCTATTAGTGTAGTCCATTGAATACCATGGGAATAGCCAGGTAAAACTAAAAATCACTCAGATCAAAGGAATTTCAAGTCTTACCACACACCAAAACTAAGTCAACTGAACGTTCACCTTGGAGCTACTCTATAGCATGAATTAATTTAATACTTAAATCTGTATTTCAGTGGAGCCAGTTGTGCAACAGCAGAGCTGCAAATATTGACTGTAGAAGGGGAGAGGAAGGAGGGGGATTTTTCTAGGGAAAGCAAAAGAAAATATTTAACAGCAAGAGAGACCTTACTTCATGGCTTATGACAGCCTATTTGCATGTTTCCTTCAAAAAGTACACAGAAAAATCTGATTTATTTATACTCCCAGCACAGGCGCTTGACCAGTCTGAACCTGGATATGAAGTAAACAATTTGCTTGTGTGGAATTGTGACTGCAAATACTGTGTCTGCATCTTCCAACTGGTTGTGCTTTTGCCAGCTTTTTCTTCCCCCTCTCTGTTTTCATCACATGTGCAGAAACATTCTCCTTCTTTATTAAATGTACCTTTTTTTCCCCCAAAAATAATTTTAGACAGATAAAGAGAAACTGACATGGAAGGACCGTTTTCCAGCCTATTTAACCAATTTTGTTGGCATCATCTTCATGGTAAGCATCACCTGTCAAAAACTGAAATTTTTGTTACTGAATCATTGTATGGAAGAGAAGTGATAGAAACTGTATCATGTGGATGTGGTTCAAAATGGCTTTTTCCCAGTGAAAAAATTCAAGCATTTTATTGGTTTATGATCTTATTTTATTGGTTTAAAATCTTTTCAAGAGCTTAAATTTCTACTTTTCTGTCTCTTTCCAATAAAGAAAAAAGAATACTAAAATAGGCTAGGGGAAAATGAGGGCAGAGAAATGGAAATTCCCACACCACTGATGGGATGAGGTTTAAAAAGTAAAGAGGGCCCTCTTAGAAAGTGGTCAGGAAGTACAGACCAACATCATTTTTATAATCAAACTTCAGGAAAGCAATGACATTGCCAGTTGCAATCATAATTGCAACGATTTTTAATAAATCAGTCCAATTTGGAGCTATACCATCTAACAGGAGAATTGCAAACAGAGCACTTAATTCAAGGAAAAGGTAAAATAATGATGAGAAGAGCCTTCTTCCATTTGCTGATAAAGCATCAGCATTTAAAACAAATGTTGACAGAAATAATAAAAATTCAAGTCATGGAACGGATTGACAGTTATATAAAAAAAAAAGCTTAAACCCTTTCCATAGGTAAAATTCCCCAGACTGAGTCAATTAGTTTGTTTTTAGGGGTAGAGATTTTGGTTTAGAATGGGGCTTTCTTAATATTTGTATTTTTAGAGAACAGAAATGCAGTAAATTTCATATGCTTGTCTGAAGAATCGGTATCTTTTGAGAATCATGTTTTAAAATCATTCCTCTATTTATGCAATGAAAAATTGAGAGAGAGATTTTACTGTGCCAGGAAGTGTGTTGATTTAATCAGATTTAATTTCAGTTTGTGATTATGAGAGCATGGTGAGTCTGAGTAAGGGATTTGAAGGCTGAAATACTCCTATTTATTTCAAATTTGGGTTTTTTTGTTTATCACAGAGGAAATACCATGTGTATATGCTGCTGGTATCAGGGCTGAAAGCAAGCCCACTAATACTTTTAATATTAGGATTTCTATTAATTACAATTATTATTTATATCCATTAGTAATATATAGTATTTTAGAATTTATTTATTATTAATATGTAGTATTTTTTAATAGTGCTAAGCATGGAGTTTACATTTAGGTCCCTTTTAGAACAACACATTTTGCCTGTGATTGTGGCATCATAGTGTCATTCTTTTTCATGTGATTTTCAAGTAACAAAAGAAGCTCTTTTCCCACAGTTCATCAAAGCCTTAATTCAGTATTGGGGTGTGGCCCAGAGGTCCCATTTTTAAGGTTATTTCTAAATCCCAAGCAAAGTATTTAAAAGTAAATCTTTGGTAAAGTTTTGGACATTTCTTCCTCGCAGGTTGGGCTGACGTTCGCCATCGTGTTTGGAGTGATCATCTACAGGATCTCCACAGCCGCTGCCCTGGCCATCAGCTCCACACCCTCAGGGCGCTCGAGCGTCCGTGTCACCGTCACCGCCACCGCCGTCATCATCAACTTGGTGGTCATCATCATCCTGGACGAGGTGTACGGCTGCATCGCCAGGTGGCTCACGCAGATTGGTGCGTTGGAGCCCTCAGCTCACTGCAAGGGGGTTAAATCAGAGCACCCAGATCGCTGGGGCTAATGTGCAAAGCCAAGGGCAGTCAAATTTGTGGCAAAAAGTCCGCTCTGTAATTTTTATTTTTTTTTATTTTTTCCAAAAAATTGTCAGTAATGAAAGGTCCAGAAATCTTTTCAATCTTGAATTTTTGCCCATCTACAAATGATTGTCATGAAGGTCAGGCAGGTGTGGAATGAAATTGGAATTGCTGTTGTAATGTGTCTGACTGCTGGGATCCTCAGCAGATTTACCTCTGACCTCAGTGTAGCCATACTGCTTTTACATATAGATATAGATATATATATCTATACCTCTGACCTCAGTGTAGCCATACTGCTTTTACATATAGATATAGATATATATATCTATATGTATGTATCTATATGTATATATATATATATATGTATGTATAAATCCCTTTGTTTAAAAGGTGGCTGATGTTCTCTAAAACCCACATTTATAAGATCTTGAAATGTTTCCAGGTAGGATAATTCCTTAATGTTTCTCATCCATGTCCCATTGGCCTTAATGTTTCTCATCCATGTCCCATTGGTTCCAGAGGTACCAAAGACTGACAAGAACTTTGAGGAGCGGCTGATTTTCAAGGCTTTCCTGCTGAAATTTGTCAATGCCTACACCCCCATTTTCTACGTGGCTTTCTTCAAAGGCCGGTGAGTGATGAAAGGATTTTTCAGGGTTTCAGCTTATTGGAGGTCTTTTCAGGACTAAACATTAGGTGGTCCCACTCAGAGGCATGGAGTATGACATAAATTGCTTCAGAAATCTAATATTGAAAGTATAAAATCCGTCTGATGTGTTTAACTCTAACCATTGTGCCCTAGATTTGTTGGACGTCCAGGTGATTACGTCTACATTTTCCATTCCTTCCGAATGGAAGAGGTAATTGAATTTCTATCCTGTCTGGGATTGTGTTGGATGGATGGGGTGGAGGAGAGTGTTCTGACTGACCTCTCCTCTGTCCACCCCAGTGTGCCCCAGGAGGTTGCCTAATGGAGTTGTGTATCCAGCTCAGTATTATCATGTTGGGCAAGCAGCTGATCCAGAACAATTTGTTTGAGATTGGCATCCCGTAAGTAGCAACTTCTGTGTTTTCTTTTTTTTAATAATTGTGCCTGGTAAGTAAAATAACTGAGAAATGAGCACTGAGTGAGCAGAATGGAGTGCTCAGCAAATTGTACCCATTTCCCTCAGAAAAATGAAGAAGTTTATACGATACTTGAAATTGAAGCGTCGGCGTTCTCTAGACCATGAAGAGCACATGAAGAAAAAGCAGCGCTATGAAGTGGACTATAACCTGGAGCCCTTTGCTGGACTCACCCCTGAGTACATGGAAATGAGTGAGTGAGGTGGAAGGAAGGCATTTTAAAGCATAATTATTGTGACTTATTGGGATGGACAGCTGAGCTTTTCGAACTGTACATTCAGCAGACAGTGGATAAGAGATAACTGAATTATTAACATGTGCAGTCTTGGACTGGAGCATATTTCAGCCAACCCTGGCTGCTGGAGGGCTGAATTGTGCTCTCTGCTGTTTGTAAGGCCCTACTTTAGAATGATATTTTAGATATTTTCTTTCTAACCACGTAACACATCACTGTCAAGTTTCAAATGCAAATGATTAAGTGCCATCTACTCAAGATTGTGAGGCATATTTTACCATCAGTTGAACCCTACACTAGAAATTAGTTAGTTAGAAGTTAGTTCAGATTTGATAATTTCCACACCAGAGTCTTTTATCAGATAGCTGAGCTTCTTCTGAGAGGAAGCAAGTCTGTAGACCTGGTTGTACTTGACAGATATAGAATTTGTTTTTCAAGTATCTTATGCTGAATGAGACAAATTAAAATACCTGGTGACCTTGATGTTCAGAGTACTTGAAGCAGATGGGAGTTCAGTGGTACAAACTGCAAGGCCATGCTGCCAGATCCTAAAAATAAGAAAAGATGCAGTTACTGAGATCAGCATTTGGAAGTAACAGGAGAAAGATGGGCAGTACCAGGATGAGCATGATATCCATGCAAAAGGCAAATATGATCCCATGTTATAGGAAGCAAGTTATTCCTGGCAGAGGCAGGAATCAGCCATGTCCTTTTCAAACCTTCCAGTGGGATTGATGAAGGCCAAAAACCTGCCAGATGGCAAGTTTAGGTAGAGCCAACACGGTCACTGCCATAGTCCCACTCCTTCACCCCTGTTCCAGCTTTGCCCACAGAAAAATTGTTTTAGAAGCTTCCCCATCCTTCTGGTTACTATTGCCTTTCCTTTTACAAGGTGACAACTGGCCCTCCCATGGCCAAATGGAGCAGCCATCATTCAAACTGTGCCTGACACAGAAAATGGGATTGAGTCTCCCAGAACTCGTCACCTTGTCAGAATTCAGGGGCTGGCACTGATGTGGTGATGGGTGCATTTGGGAAATATTGACAATAGGCACCAAAACGTTTTCTTTTTCTTTCCAGTTATCCAGTTTGGGTTTGTAACTTTGTTTGTTGCGTCCTTCCCTCTGGCACCTTTGTTTGCTTTATTGAACAACATCATTGAAATCCGTCTGGATGCCAAAAAATTTGTTACTGAGCTGAGGAGACCGGTAGCAGTGAGAGCAAAGGATATAGGTAAGTGGATATTGTTATTTTATCCCTGTTTGTTTATTCCTGGATTGATGGCAGGATATTATTATGCTGAGCTAGTTTCAATAACAGGGAGATATTTATAGGAAAAGTCAAAGCATTCAGCTGTGGCTTACCTGTGAATTGTCATAGTTTATTGAGGCTTTACCTTTAAAATAGGAAGACCAAAGCTTTAAATTCAGATGAATATTTCATTAAGTAAATATTATCACTTTTTAAATCAAAATGATCAATGCAATAGCAAAACACTCACACAGTTCTGACTTCAACAGACCTTCCTGGCAATGCAGTTTTCGTGCAGGAGCAAAAATTTCCACATTTAATAACTCTACATCAGCCTCAGAAATACCCTTAGGAATGAGAGGAGACTCAAAAGTCTGTGGATAAATGTATCCCTTTGTCTCTACTCAGCAGGAACGTCAGAAGGGTGAAAACTGCAGTGGATGGGGCTGGAATTTGGCTCTGTGGCTGTGTGAGGACAAGAGTCAGTCCTGCCCTTACAGGGGGGCTCACACCTATGGGTGCTTGTAATGAAGGAGCTGCTTCTCCCAAATGACTTAAAAGCTCATAAAAATAAAAGTAGAAATAAAATAATTGTCCTTGTTACAAAGCCAAGCAGCAAGAGCAGAGAAGTTTATCTGTTACTAAACTCTACATTCATTCTACTGTAGTACAAGCAGAGTTTTTCCTTGGGCTCATCCTTGTGCCCTAGGATCATCCTAGACTTGAAGAACACATCATGTTTTTCTTCTTAACTTTGCTTTGGGGGTGTTTTGTGGCTCCCTGATTTGATGCTGCAGGTTCAGGTTGCTGGCGGAGATGATTGGGAGGGTGATACTGATTTTTTGATTGTGGTGGGGGTTTGATTATTTTTTTTATTTGTTTCTGAGGATTTCTTAATTGCAATTCATTGCACTTCAATCCCATTCTTTTAAACCTAAAAAAATAGTTGCCAAAACACCAAAAGTTGGGCTCTTTTTGCTTACAAGCCATTAAATTAATTTTTCGTAATTTGTTCTCTTTCTGTTTAAAATATAAATAGCTCAGCACAATTATACATGCTCCTAACTCTGTTAACTGAAGATGTAATTTATCTAATTTTAAGGACTAGAGTAGCATTTACATGTTTGTCTCCTTCCTTAGGAATTTGGTATAATATCCTCAGAGGTATTGGAAAGCTTGCTGTAATCATAAACGTAAGTAAATCAGCATGAATTAAATTTGAATTCAATAGGCTGGCTTTTCCATTCTGCTCCATTAGTTTTATTTCAGCATAAAATCCCTTAAATCAAGTGAAAGCATCTGACTGAGAAATTTTTGGAAATATTTGAGGATGAGTTGCTGTGTTTATTTTCCAGCTGTGATAGCAGTAGCAAGAATATAAAATAGTAAGTAGTCACTGCTGTTTTTTTCCAGAATGTTTTCATAAAACAGTTCTATCCTTCAAACAAATATGACCACAGCTGTTTACTTTTACTCTTTTGAAACACTATCAGTAGGATGAGATATTTTTTAATTTCAGTGGTATTTTGGGTGAGTTCAGCTCCTCAGAGTGCAGAATCTCTCCATTGAAAATCTGCCCTCGAGCTGCAATTCCCCCACTCAGAGAGCTTGGAAAATCTTGAAAAAAAAAAGTTTATTTCAACATTTCACAAAAATTCAGCATGTCTTAATATATTAGTGCATGTACTTCTGCACTATTCCATATGAATAGACATCCACAGTGATCATCCTCCTTGCACCCCAGCTGGTGAAAGATGAAAACAAAGACCAGCTGAAATTCAACGTCTTTGCAGTGCAGCAAAGCAGGGGCTCTGTAGGGCTTATGGCCACATGGCCAGACTCCCTTGGAGTTTCCAGGGTTCTGTTGTGCTATGGCAAAACCATTCTTTTGGTATGCTGCCTTAGTTTGTCTTTCCCATTTCTCCTCTTTTCCTTTGGAAATGATTACTCTGTTTTTCTCTTTTGTTCTGTGTAGTCTCTCCTTGTCAATATCCAGTGTTATTGCTCACTCTTTGATCAACATATTGCTCCTTTTTACTATAAAATAAGTAAAACATTTTGTACTGTGTTTGTTCCACATGTACATGAGATTTATGCCAGTGGCAATGTTTCATAATGATGATAAATGAGGAAGGCTAAAGTCATGAGGAACTCAGCCCAATTGGCTGTTGTGCCTTTCCTCCACGATCTTTTCAGAAAATTTTAAATAACTGGATGAAATGCAACTTTTGTGACCATAAAAATAAAACTGGGCTCAGTTTCCTCATCCTTTTATCCTGATGAAGTTAAGAGCCACATGCAGTTAATGTCCTTTTGCAATGCAATGAGACTTTGAAGAGTCAAATCACCATGGGTTGTTTGCAGGACGGAAAAGCAGCTGGAAATCAATCAATTGGACCTTGTGCAAGGCACCAGGGAGAAGTTGTGATGGAGACACAGGGAAGCAGAGCTGTGGTAGCTCTCCCCTGTTGCTGGAGGGTACAGCTGCTCCATTTTTGGGGGCCTCAGGTTGTCACCCACGCAGACACCTCAGCTGACATGGCACTACTCCAGGGAATATGCTACACCTTGGGAGAGTGGGTAGTGAACAATCCCTTGCTGGTGCAGTGAATGCTCCACTTTCAGGGCCCTCAGGCTCCCTGAGTTGCATGAGTTGTTTGGGCAAGTCATGGTTGAGGGTGTGATGAAGTGAAGCTCTGCCTGGGTAGTGCGCTCACTCTTTACTCTTGTGGCTCAGGCATTTGTGATCTCATTCACATCCGACTTCATTCCACGCCTCGTGTACCTGTACATGTACAGTGAGAATGGCACCATGCATGGCTTCGTCAACCATACACTATCCTCTTTTAATGTCAGCGATTTCCAAGCAGGAACAGCTCCCAACGACCCCCTGGATCTTGGCTACGAGGTTCAGATATGCAGGTACTCTCTTGAATGATTGCTAATGTGAAGTGTTTTCACAGCTGGCTAAGAGTGTGGCAAATTCTTACACTCCTGGAGCAGGTTCCTTGTATTTTCAATACCTTTTTTAGCACCTTCCTAGCCTTTTCTATCAGATGGATCCATTGCCTTGAACACCTTGCTTACATATTAAGTAATCACAGACCTGAATATGATTTACTGCTTATTTTGGGAAATGGAGATTAGTGTTAGTTAAATTCAGTGCTTGTCCATGCAAAGATTTTTTATTATTATGGATTCCCTTTTCCAGGAAAGATGACAAATAATGATAAATAGTACAGTGATGCTTTAAGGGAAGAAAATTATGTCACTCTGACGTCATGTCATGATAAAATGACCATGACCTTTGTTTTGGTCCAGTTTCCAGTTTCTGATGAAAGCAGTAGCATCCCTATCTGCACTGGAACTTAGGACTTACTTAAAGTGTCATCACACAGGAAAAATTTCCGTATCTTTGACAATTTCTATCTATCACTTTCATGTTTAAAGGAAAATTATGGTTACCTATTTCAGCTTATGAATTCTTAGAACTGGGGGCCAAATGCAAATCTGGCAGTGAAATTACTTGGACCACCAAAGATGAAAGGGGGTCAAAGGAGGAAGGAAAAGGGAGAAAAGAGCAAGGAAGGAAGAGATGTTCCGGGGGAGACGCAAAGATGACTTTAATACACACATACTAAAAAAAAAATCACACAAATTGATGAAGTAAAAATTTCTTTGCCTTTGAAATATATTTTTTTACATTATATTTTTTATGCATTTGAAGAGTGCAAGTAAATATGGTGAAATGACCTCTAAACAGAAAATTCACTCAGAGATGAAAGCAAAACTAATCTAAACTGCATTTGTAGTAGCTTTGCTTGCTTTTGCTTTCTCCTGGATTCCTCCTAGTGCTCTCTGGGCAGAGGTTAAGCAAGGTTGGCAAATATGTTTCAGCACAGAATGGAGGTGTTAGCATCGTGGTCCAAAAGCAAAATGCCAGATTTATTTGCTTTCCACTCCCAGCCTCTGTCTTCTTCTAATCCCATCTGTATTGCAAGGATTTGAAAATCATTTGAAAATGCAGAGCACTAATTCTTTCAAAATATTGACAGGATGCTGTGGGTTTGAATTTAATGTATTTTTCTTGGTCCTGTTTATCAACACATAGATTTTCTGTAAGCCATAGCTAAGGAAAAATTCTCTTCTCTCCACATGGTAAAATTTAGCTTCAACCTTCTGCTAATCAGTCCTATGAATCTGAGATCAGTATTTTTGTCTTTAAAATTAGTTTGAAAAATATATGTTGCCTTTTTACCTATCTTAAAATAAATCACCTGAGCTGTGCGGTTTACTCTGTCTTATGCAAAATTTATATTATTTATAGTAATCAGAGAGTATTAAGATGTATTAACCTTTAATTTTGAGGCTAACATGAAGGCTATGGGAGAGTTTCAGCTGTGTCTTGTTTCTGAGAGGTTAATACAGTGAACATTCTTTTAGACTGTTCCATTTATTGTTTGACTGTTTGTTAATAACACCTCGCGGTGCTAACATTTCTGAATTGCATCCCTGACTTACTGAGTCTTGTTTTGCAGGTACAAAGATTATAGAGAGCCCCCCTGGTCTGAAAACAAATATGACATTTCAAAGGATTTCTGGGCTGTCCTAGCAGCAAGATTGGCATTTGTGATAGTTTTCCAGGTAGGTGACACTGCAGGCATTTGGAAATAAGTTATTGGGCCAAAGAAAAATATTCTTTCTCAGCTGTTTTATGAAAGAGCCAAAGAAATTTGCCCATCTTCATCACCCTCTTTGTCCCACTCACTCAGGCATTGTTATATCCTCAGTGGAAAAATTCATCCTCAGGGATTCCATGAACTGGTTTGATGCAGAAGAACTTAATGACCTTAGAGACCAGCAAAGCACCAGGCTGATACTAATTAGGTCCCACCAATCTCTCCCATAGGGCATCAGCAATTTCACTGAAGCAGCATAAATTGAATCCAAAATAATTTTTAGAGCTAGCCAAGAAATGAGATTTTCAAAATTTTCCAAGTTAAAGTTTAATTTGCATCTGAATAAGAAGCTGAAATCTTGTAATTTGTCCTTAAAAGACATTATTTAATCACAAGCGATGCTACTTATTGTGACACAAATGGCTTAAGTCTGCCTTATCTGAATACCTTGTTTTGAAACTTTTATAGGGTTTTTTGGTTAAAAATTATCTTTTTGGGAAAGACCTCCCTTTCCTTGAATTCAAGGTTTTTCAATCTGAAAAATGTAATTATAATGTATTTTACCAAGTGTTACTGTTTAACCTCTTGTATTTGCTTCTGCCTTCCTGATGTAAATCTCATGAGCCATTCACCACTTGCAAATTCCTTTGGATTTCTAAGTGGCTTCAGTGTCAGGATTGGTACATAAATCATAGAGTTCTATGCCTGATGTGTTTCTCTACTTCTAGCATGGACAAAACAGTTGTGGGGAATTTGGTCCAGTAGTCCAACTCAAATATTGTTCTCTCTTCATTTTTCCTTCCTAAGTGCACCGAAATCAGCCCCTTTCCTTTACCTACAGCCACCCTTTCATTTGACCCCGCTGACACTTTCTCACAACTTCATTTTCAGAACCTGGTCATGTTCATGAGTGAATTTGTTGACTGGATTATCCCAGACATTCCCAAGGACATTAGTCAACAGATTCACAAGGAGAAAGTTCTCATGGTGGAGGTCTTCATGAGGGAAGAGCAAGGGAAGCTGCAGATGCTGGAAACCTGGAATGATAAGGACAAGAAAAAAGGGGAAAACTGTAACAACCACAGCCCCAGGCTCTCCAGGAGCTGCAGTGGGAGCTTGTCCTCCTGCCATTCCTATCCTCTGGACGTTTAGGAGAGAAGGGAGCTGAGTCTGTCGGGGCATTCCAGAGACAAAAGCCATGGCGCCAAGGGCAGGACTCCGGTAACGGACACCCCGGTGCATGTTGAAGGATGTGCTGCCATTTCACTCCCATCTTTGTGAGAAATGCCCTTCTCGCAAATATGGAGGACCACATTCTATTTCTGACAATGTTGGATTTTTTTTTTTTGTTTTTTTTCCTTTTGCACAAGCAGTAATGCAGGGAGTTTTTATATTTCATCCTTAGGTAACACTATTGATGTTGGCGTGCATTAAGAAATGCAGGTACTTAGGACAATATTGCTAGAGACATTCTCTGAGAATCTGATCTTAGCCTATCAATTAGCCAATGAAATAAAGGTAAATTTGAAGTAATAATAATAATAACGATAATAATAATAATGCTAACTTGAACTATTTTTGGAAACCCATTTTCGAAGGTCCATGAGGTAATTGTCTAAATTATATGAAAAAAACCAGTATTCCCTAGTATTCCATAAAGCCTACCAGACTGACTTGCTTCACAAGGCTGGGTTTAGCTCTGTGAATCTGAGCTTTGGAGTCCCACAGGTGTGGGGGGCACTTGTGGCAGCCTGCTGTGTTCCTCAGACCATCCCTGGGGCACCACTGTGTCCAGAAACATCAGCGCAGGGAATCTGAGAAGTGCTTTCTTGGCAGCAACAGCAGCAGCAGCACAATTCCAGAGATCCTCCCAGCAGGTCCATGGTCATGGAGCATTTTGTTAAATGCCCTGAGTTAATGAGCACACGGAGAACTCCAGTGACTCTCACTGCCCTGCCAAGCACTCAGACACTGCTGTTGCTGAGTTCCCTTCCCCCTGTTGTTTCAGCACACCCCTGTTCCCAGCCTGGCTTTTCCCTGTAGCCCTGTGGAGCAGAAGGAAGTGCTTGCACCCGTGTTTCACAGCCAGCTTTTCCCACTGACTTTCTGCTGTTGGCTGGCACTTCCCAGAGTCTTTGCCAGAGGAGTAAATCCCAAATGTATCCCACTTACTGTCTTCAGTGGAAGTTTTGCCTGCACTGGGGCTACAGGACCAGACCTTCAGTTATAGGATTAGTTACAGGACTTTTGTCTTAAAATACCTTATTCTTTTGTACAAGGAGCTTTTCCCTAAAGTATAAGTCTGAAATCCTTACTTACCATGATACTAGTTAAATCCCATCAGTACAGCTCTTTTCAAGCATAATATGTTTTAGTTTTGCTTTGTTGACCAATAAACTGCACTTCCAAATAATATTGGTGCAATTAACCTAATTTCTTTTATTGCTTTGTCTTTTCCATGGCACTTGCATTATAAAATTGAAAAAGAAACTAAAAAGGAAAGATTTCTTTAAAGTCTAGCTACTGTATGGTTTGTTACAAAACCAAGCTGTTTTCAAGAGAAGTTAGTTATTTCTTTTTTTCTTTAATTTTTCCTTTGCCAAACTAATTTAAAGATTAATGCTAGAACTCTAAAAAGAATGCCATATATAGCTTTTGATATATTTATTTGTTTTAATGTATGTGACAAACTTGATATTTTTCTGTAGTCTGTCCAAAGAAAGTACCAGAAGAGAAATTATGTGGAAGAAAGAAAATGGTATTAACCAAATATTCTTGAAGCTTATTTAAAATATTGATCCAACCAAAGATTTTTATTAATAAAGGGCTTATATTTTGTTAACTCTTGTTTCTGTTGTATTTTGACTTGCAGGAATGTCACTATTTTTAAAATTTGTAACTTATGATAGAGTGTTCCTGTAGGGCAAAATCCTGCCTGATTCATTCCCACATAAATGTAATGCCTGGTAGTAAATGTTTACCAGATCAGGCCCACTGACTGCAATAGGACTGGGAGTGGGGAGAAATCAAGCAGAATTCTGTCCACACATTCTGTTGAAAACCTGTTCTTCCTCTCATTCCTTGGTAGCCCAAAAGATACAGGAGAAAGCCAAACTACCTATTCTGAAGAGAAATCTTAGGGATTGTCCTCGAAGGGGATTTAATCTGTAAATACTGACCTGAAAGTGTTCCCGACTTAATACTGACATTCCTGTAAATGGTGGAACTATATCCTCAACACATACTTATCCGAATTTTTCATTATTTGCTGAAATCATGGAATAGTAGCAGTTGCCTATACTTTCTTTTGTACAGTAAATTGTTTGAAATGGAATTTTGTATATAAAAATCTGTATTACTACTCAGATATCTATAAAATTCTTTCATGGAATCATTTTTTTAAAAAAGAAAATATATACTAAATCTGTTTTATTTTGGTTTGTATATTTTTTTTTCCTTTTTCTTTGAAGACTTATTTGAAATAAACTTAAATATCCAAGAGTTTCTCCTGTGGGACAGGTTCTGTTCCCAACCCTCCTTTTGCTCTGAGTGTACAGACACCTTCCTAAGAATGTCCCAGGGAGATCTGGTGTTTGAGCTGCTTTAGAGACCCACTTGGAGATGAGTGAATCCCACCTGAAATCCATCTCCAAGAGCACAAAGGAAGATTTTGGCTCCACCATGGCTGTCACGTTTTCACTGCCCTGAGGGGACCTGTCCAAGCAAAGCTGGCCTCAGGACCTCACTTGCTAACTGAAATTTTTTTTCTCCCTCTCCCATTTAACTGTGGTTTGAGAAGGCAAAGCACAAGGCTTCACACCAATCCTCCTTTCCTTGATAGAAAATATTGATGCTCCAAGTCAGGAGATTTAGTTAGAAGGTGGGAATTGTGGGATTGTCAGTTATTAAAGACAAAATAGTACCTATGAGCTCATTAGATATGAGATGCCTTCCAGAAAAACACTTGCACTGCAGCTGCAGTACTTTTCCTGAAAGTTTTCTCATATTTGGGATGCAAAAAAAAAAAAAAAAAGTTTGCTTCTATCAATAGCAAATTTGAGGCAGGACTGTGCTAGAAAGGATTTACTGGAATAGAGAGGGAAACAAAAAGAAACTTTTTTTTTCCAGAAGGGAAAGCGGGGATCTAGAAGTGATCAAAGAATACCTGGACATGCCTTGATATGACTCACAGTGACCAGGTTTGATGAAAGATAGAAAACCAAATATTTCATTTGTGCAAGGACAAAGCTGAATTCTGTGTTGGTATGACACCATGTCCATGACATGCATTTAACCTGTTCTTGGCATGCTTCTGCCCTAAAACCATAAGCACAAAACCATTTCTCAGCCTGGATTTGATCAAAGGAAAAAAAAAAAGCCAAACCCAATGTCTTAATGTGTTGAAGAGGAAAGTCATGGCACCAGTTTTCTTGGTCTAAGCGAAAATGCAGCCCATGGGAAAGATTCCTGTTGGAAATGTCTGCAAGGGCCATTTCTGCACCATTGCTGAATCACTGTTTGCTGTTTGCTACACAAGGTTCGTAGCAGAGACACGATGTCAGTCGGTGCATCCAAGGAGGAAGTTGTTCCCACCCCAAATGCTGCCAGTGTGAGTCTGAATCTCCTGGATTTCCATGTCATTGTGTTTCCAAGATACTGTCCTACAAATATTTTGCAGTCTTAAATAGCTTAGGGGTGAATAAGTCTCGCATCAAGGCACAGACACATCTCTATTTTTAACCCCCCACACTCTCTGGTTAATGATCTTTTTGGCTGTTGGGATTTCCAAAACACAATGATAATTTACTTTTCATCTTGATACCTCTGGAGTCTGACCTCTCCCAGAGTTCCATACATCACTTGAGTGCATTTATATTTTCCTATGAAGTTTTCAGAGTAAACAAGTTCTCTTCGTCTTGCCACTGAGAAAAAGCCTGTCTTAAAATTTATATGAATTCCATTCAAACTCTGTTTCAATTCTTTGCACGTTTGAGCACTATTTATTCCATAACCAAACACAAGATGCCATTTTTAGTATAGCAGAGAAAAACCAAAGGTCTTTTTTTAACCTTCTTTTTTTAGCCCAACAGGCCTTTCTGAAGAAAAAACTAACTATGAATGTGGCTTATTTTGAATTTTAACTCCATCCTTAATTTTTAAGGCCATGACAGCCACCTGAAGCCAAAGAAAATATTTCCATTGATTCCCTTCAGCGTGCTTTGCATGAGGTTAAGCAGTGCTTACTGAGTGATTGGTTTCACTTTGGATAAAATAAAATTTCCTGACAGTTTTTTGTAGCTTACTTTTCTAACCTTCTGTGTCAGCTAAAGCCAAAATAAAGCAATGCAGATGCGTTGTGAGAGCAGTACAGAGTTCGTGCACCATTGTTCTGGTTTCCATGGGGCAAAGCATGGAAAATCCAAGAAGACTTTGATGTCATAGCTTTCATCTGACTTAGTACTGTCTCTGGAAAAAAAATCATGTCAAAACAGGCAACGTATCTGTTTGGATGACCATGAGAAAAGAGAATCTAAATACAAAATATTTGGCAGAGTGTTTGTGCTGAACAAGCTTAAGTGTAATAAAGTCTAATTTTCAGAGTGAGGGGCATGTGGTTAAGCAATCTTACAAGAGAAGAAAAGGTTATTCCCTATTTTTACTGCTAAATGAAAAAATAGTGGTTATCTTCTCCAGCTGAAGTATGAGATGGAGCTAAAGAAAAGGTGCAAGGTAGGCAAGAGAGGAAGAAAAGGCCTGCTGTTCTCAGACCCAAGTTAGCTGACAGATCAGCCACAGGAGAGTTTTTTTCTGGAAAGAGGACAGATTTCTAAGGCAAGGCCACCTTGTAGGTGGGTTATGGGGCAGCCTTTGCCAGTGTTCCCACAGCTACATGCCATCCCAACCATGCCAAGCCAGGAAATACAGTGGGTCTTGTGAGGAGATGGAAGCTGGAAGTCTTTGGTCCTGTGGGAGGAATGGAGCTCATGAGCCTGGAATCCCATCTGTCCTTGCAACAGCATGTAATTACAGGAGCAGCTCTCATTTCTCAATGTATTAATCTCTGAAATACATCTCCAGGTAAAGAAGCAAGGTAATTGCAAGTAATTAGCCATCAAGTGGGAAAGAAATAAATCCCAGCAGGCCAGACTGTTCTGGGCTTACTGCAAGAGGTGATGTGTGTGCACTGTGTGTCAGAAGGTAGGTGGGCTCTTAACTTCCAAAACTGTTTGGGCATTTGACTCTCCTCAGGCACTGCTGTGAGTGGAAAAGAGGAGTTGTGAGCAGGGAAGGAACAGTGAGACTCCTGCCAGCAAATCAACATGAACTTCAGCTCCATCTTCATCCTGTCTTCAAAAAGAAAAAGAAGCAAAACTGAGAAGCAGTTCTGAACTCCTACCAAACCTCTTCCCTTTTGCCTCTTTGTATTTGACTTCTGAAACCAAGTTCCTCCACCTCTTTACGAGGCTTGCCTTTTAGCTGGTGGGCTAAGCTGGTAATCACCCCTGGGGCTTCTTGGGGATAAGAAGTGGCAATTAATTAATTACTGCCAGGTTTAGGTACCTGGTAAAGATGTGGTACAGGCTCCCTTTCAAAAGCCTCTCTCCAAAACTGGTGAAGAACAGCAAAGTATGGTTAAATGTCTATTTGACTGATCACAGAGGGTGAACTTGGGGCTGATTGTATGCTACAAATCATTTAATTTTAGTTGTACCTACACAAGGAAAAAATAAAACTCATTTTGTAGCTTTTCTGGCACCAAGCTGTAGCATGTGGAACTTCCTCACTTCTTCTGAAGTATACAGACGGTAAGGAAAATATATAAATGCTATATATTGTATTAGATTAATCCAGCCTTCTCTCAGGAAGTCACACTCCCTTCCTAAACTTTTCATCTCTGGAAACAAATGCAACAAGTTTCCTACATGTTTGTATATGAAAATGGACTCCAAATTGTGGTTTAGGACTAGCTGGTATCTGGTTCTGACCACAGCACTGTGGACAAGCTCAAATTACAGCATTTCTTCAGAGAGCAGAAAAAAAATACTTCCTCCTCAAAGAATCAAGGGAGAGGGATGATGAAACCAGATTTGCTTTCTTATTTATTATATCTAAATCCCTATGAGTAACTCACCCAGTCATATCCTGTATCACTTAGTGGCCACACAAAACTATTCATGTTTTAAAAGGAAGTAACTGGATAATAACTGCACTGTATTTGAGCAGATGAGGCACTCCCTCTGTAATCAGGATTGAATAAAAAACTTACACCTTCCAACTCCAGTGACTCGGACAGAAAATACTGCATTGGCACATCCTGAAAAGAATGGAAATCACAGCTGTGTAAGGCAATGCTTGTTTCTAGGAAATAACCCCCACCTCTTGGCTTGTCATTATACCCAGTCACAGGAGTGAGTTCACAATACCTGAGTTTAACTCAAAAATCAAGTAAGTGTGACCAGGCTCACTCACATTTATAATTTAAAGCAAAATTTCAGTACCTCTGAGAGACATTTAAGTATTGTCTGGTCTCTGAAGAGGCCACTCTGCAGGCTGGAGGCAAAGACATAGTTGAGATAAAGTTTACATTTTTCACCAGGTCCAAAGCAGAGTCTGTCGGTGCAGAAGAGATAAGAGTTGAATATTCACAGACACTAAAACAAATGAGAAATACCTGCTGCCATTATTTCATCTGCAGTGCTCTGCAGCAGGCAATGGAGTGCTGCTCCTTCGTAAGGAAAGGGGAAGAAAACCTTTCCTTGCGTGGGAGGATGAAGTCCTGTAGTACAGAACTAATTACTTGCTTGTAAGAAATACTCCAAAGTGGTGGAAAATGGGTCCATTTTTGGCAAAATAATTACTTTTGTTATCCTAACCTTTATTTTATAGCTGCTCAGAATTATGTATTTTCTAATACAAAGAAGGAGAATTAAGAAAAACACCTCAATTTATAGAAAATAAATGTTATTGTTGTAACTATTTACCTTTTCAGGGTTTTATCTGGTTTAGGAACTGGCAATACAACAGCCCAGGAGAAAAGAACAAATTTACATATTCTGCAGAAATGAATTAGTATTAGCTTCCAAGCCTGGTAATCAGAGCTGCTGGATTATTTCCCTGGATGAATAGCAACTTCCAGTTTGGATCTTAACTTGCTTTGCTTTGCCCTCAGCCAGTCACAGAGCAGAAACTGAAGTGAATAGAAATAGAAAGGGCCTCAAAAGAGGTCTAATGATCATTCACCGTTATTTGGGGATGTTTTGTCATTTCACAATGACATTCCTCTGCAAATAACCCTTGCTCTCTCCTCTGTTTTTCTGTTTTTCCAAGTGCAAAAATTGATGTTGCAGAGCTTAAGTAATAAATATGGTTCAGAGGAATGAGATGTGCTGGGCTAATATATACACACAGCTTTATTGTCATGTGAAATATTTGTCTGAATGATTTCATACTTCCATGGTATGATTAAAATTCACTACAAAAATAGGTAAAAAGTCAAGTCAGAGGTTTTTAGCTGGAGCAAATAAACAAAAGTCTACAATTTACCCTTCCCCTAAAGTTAAACTAACTTATTCTGCCAACAATAACATAACAGAACTGTATCAACAGAATTATATCAACACTTCTGCTGTTTCAATATTAAGTTCAAGCATCTGTTAACAACTTATTGCTTGTTGTTGTTGTTACTTGGCCAGATCTTTTATCTGTATACAACCTAGTCATGCCAGAGTTCACTCTCTTTTCAGTACTTATTTACTTTTCCCACACTCTGCTTCTAATTTTCTCTCTCAACCTACAATAACTGACATTTCTTACAGGCCCTTTTTTCAGTGACAGTTTTCTCCAAAGATCCTCAGTCTCTTTGTAAATGAGTCTTTTTATCAGAGCACTTCTTTCTAGTCTGGATGTTATAGCAACAGAGGGGTGATAGCTGACAAAATAAACATGTACAGATCAACTCATTCACAAAAGAAAATACAGAAACTGTCTTCTGCTTGCTGAAAATGTGCATTTTAGGGTTTTGCAAAAAATGGGTGAGAGGCATTGGATAAATACATTAAGAAATATTATGGACATCAGTTTATTCACCGTGGGAGTAAAAAAGCAAGCAAGCAAACTAAAAACCTCTTACAGTTCAATTCTGCTAGTAGGGAGGGCTTGCACTTTTTTTGTGCAAAATCTCCTCTTGAAGACAGCAAAGAAAAAAGGAGGTGCTATGAATTCCCTTGAGAGACAAGAGTAGGTGTATTAAAAGAAGTGTACAATTGACTGGGCCTCAAAAAAGAAACAGTTCCTCAGCACTGTCTGTGTTTGCACAACCTGTGTCTCAGAACTGTCAGGATGAGGATTTTAAATCCCCCGTGGGTTATCTGTTATTGAATTGCATGGGAAATTAAAGAAATTATCAAAGCTGCTTCACTTTTAAACCCAGAAGCTCCTAAATACTCCCTTTCTCTGGACCAGCAGAATGTTGGTTGCCTTGGCTGGAAATAAGGAAGGATCTTCCCGAGTTTTCACACACACATACCTCAGTCACCCAAAGTTCAGGACAGCCCCACATTTTGCTATTTTTGCAGTCCCCAAATGGGTGGTTTTTGCCTGAATGTCCTGGTGATTGACACCTCCGTGAGGGCTCTGCTGAAATGAAACTTTTCACGCTCTCTTTTCCCTGCTCCTGCAGCACAGACCATGAAGTTAAAGCTAAACCTGAAGCATTCCCAGGCTCCGAGCTCCCTCTGCAGTATTTTGCAAGGACTCATCTTGCCTGGAGAAACTTGAGGATTATTTGGTTAGGAACCAGATCATTCCCAGCACTTACGTTTCTGGGAAATTTCCACTGACATCTAAGCTGCTCCAATAAATAATTTCTATTTTAATTTTTTCTATTTCTAAGTTTTATTCTGATGCAGAAGAGCTTACTATCTGTTAGACTCACCTAATACTTTCTTTGCCAAAGCCCCACAAACCACTCCCAAAGAAAATCACTGGAATAAAGCAAGGTGCTGGGGAATTTTCATCAGTGAATGCATCCAAGTCAGGTTCAGACAGAATAAAGGACCCTGCTCAATCAACCTCTGCCTTCTGTTAGGAGTGAGTTTAAAAGAAGAGTCATAATTAAATATTGATTTGTGTCTTTTAGTTTCACTTTTGTTACTAATTTAGATACCTTTGGAATTACACAAATGTGTAGCATCACCTTCATGCTCTGTGTACCTCAGTGCTGAATCTGGCCACTAGGTTTGTATGAACTGATTAAAATCTCAGTTGATGTTGTTTTAATTGCATGTCAGGGTATAGAGAATAAAGGTATAAACTGTACTGATTTGGACTTCTCTCATGTAGATTTGTCTCTGAATTTGGCTGGTTACCATGACCAGGCATGATGAGATTTAGTCCCTGATGTTTTGTAGAATCACCTTCCTTGGAAAAACTGAAAAGAAATTTTATTTAATTGGATTTTATACTTCTCATACCATTGCAAGGGTTACTCATGCTTCATAAATCAAAGCACACACAGCAAATATATTCCTCCTACACTATCCTTTTTGTTAACGTCTTTCCTTGAGTTTAAAGTATATTAGGGCTGCAAAAAAAAAACCACAAAACAAAACCTTAAATCAGGCACATCTTGTCCCAGCTCAGATTCTCAGCGGTGATTCCTCTCACTCTTTGCTTTACTGTGAGACCTTGCAACAATATAATTCCCTCCGGTTTGCAGCATTTAGGGAATAAACAAAAATATCTAGTGAGTTTATCTAAGGAGGGCTTGTGCCTGTGGGAGTTTTAGAAATGTTTTGGGGGCTGGCCTTCATGTGGGAATGTGATAGTGGAGACGGAGATGAGGAAGACGATAGTGTTTAAGTTCATTTATCAGTCAGAAATCTTTTTATGATGAGAGAGCATAGGTCTGTGAATGTGTTGCAAGAATAATAAACTAAAGTGTGCTGAAAACAACTTAGGAATGGGGCAGCTTGGGGAATCAACATGCCAGTGCTCACAGATGGAACAAGGAAATTTCTGAACTATCTACATGTGCTGAGAAGCCAAAAGGCACCTACAAAACAATGGGATGAACTTGATCTTTCCCATTTAAGTTCACAACCTTCCACCTTCTGTAAGAGTCACCTCTAAAATACATGGACTTAACATTTACCCTATTTCCTCCCTTTTAAAGGTCAGGAGGTACTTTGTGTCACAATTAATCTTTGTGAGGAACAAAGGCCAGGCTACATGCCCTGTGTTTCCAGGGAAGGGCTGGAGGTCTCTGGGGGCAGCAGGGGCCACACAGGGAGGGCAGAGCCTGCTTCCCTGGGCAGCTGTCAGGCAGGGAAACCATGGGAATGGCATCTCTTTGGGAGCAGGGCTCTGTTGTGGTCTTTCTTGCTTTTGGTGGAGAAGGCCCTTTACAGAATCATAAAACATTGAACAATTAAGGTTGGAAAAGACCTCTAAGATTATTGAGTCCAACCAAGTCCACCACCATATCTCAAAGCACCACATCTGCCCATCTTTTAAATCTCTCTGGGGATGGTGACTCCACCACTTCCCCATGACAGGCTGTTCCAATACCTGTCCATCCTTTCAGTGAATAAATTTCTCCTAATAGCCCACCTAAACCTCCCGTGGTGATTCTCCTCTTGTCCAGCCTCTTTTCATTGGGAAAAGAGACCAACCCCCTCCTGTCTACATGCTCATCTCAGAGAACAGTGAAGAGCAAGAAGGTACCCCCTGAGCCTCCTCATGACCAGGCTGAACCTTTCATCCTTGTACTGCTTTTCTTTCCATTTTTTGAAAAAGCAAAACCCACAGAGATTAACCCTTATAGGGGTAGGTGTTCACAAGAAGTCAAATGATTCAATATTAAACAGGAAATCTACAATTCCCCCAACTTCAGGCTTAGACTGGTGAGGTCACACCTTGAGTCAGGAAGGACTTTGAAGGGCTGGAGCATGTCCAGAGAAGGGAATGGAGCTGGGGAAGGGTCTGAAGGACCCAAGGAGCGTCTGAGGGAGCTGGGAAAGGGGCTCAGCCTGGAGAAAAAGAGGCTCAGGGTGGACCTTCTGCCTGTCCTGTACTGGCTGTTCTGTCTGACAGGAGAGGACAGCTGGGGGAGGTCAGGGTCTGCTCCCAGACAAGTGACAGAACAAGAAGACATAGCCTAAGCTGCAGCAGGAGAGGTTTAATTTGGATATTGGGAAGAATTCCTTTGCAGAAAGGGTGATCAGACATTGGAATGGCCTGCCCAGAGAGGTGGTGGAGTCCCTGGAAGTGTTTAACACAAGACTGGATGTGGCTCTCAGTGCCATGCTCTGGCTGACACGGTGGTGTTCGGTCATAGATCGGACTCGATAATCTCCGAGGTCTTTCCCAAGGGATTGATTCTGTGATTTTGTGATTCTGTGATTCTGCACCCTGGCCAGGGCTGAAGCACCAGGGCTTCTCCTGCAGCAGGACACCTGCCGCGCCGAGCTCGGCTCCAACACACGCTCTGCATTCAGCAGCACCAAACAAGCCCATCTGCCCGGGGAGGAGTTCGGGGCAGTGGGTCCCCAACCCCAAGTTAGGCGGAGGCGATGGAGCAGAAACCTCCCGTCCCGGGCGGCGGCTCAGCCGCCATCTTGGGGCGGCGCGGGGCGGGAAAGCCGCGGGGTCACGTGAGTTCCGGGCGCGGGTCGCGGCGGGCCGGGTCGGGTCGGGTCGGTATCGTCGGTATCGTTCCTCCGGTGTCTCCGGGTTCCCGGGAAGTCGCTCTGCGCAAACAGGAATGGATTTCCCCTCCAGAGGCTTTGGACAGGACGCCCAAATCTCCCCCGCGCGGCCTGTGCCGGGCGCGGGGCCCTGCGGCGTGAATCGTTTCCTGAGCCTGCTGCACTCCATCTCCTCGGGCCTGTCGGACACGGAGCTCTCCTCCATGAAGTTCCTCTGCCGCGACATAATTAGCAAGCGAAAGCTTGAGGCGGTGCAAAGCGGCAGGGATCTCTTCAGCATCCTGATAGAGCAGCAGAACATCGCGGACGACAACCTGGAATTCCTGAGAAGGCTGCTGCAGCACATCCGTAGGGGCGATCTGCTGTCACAGCTGGCAAAGTTCGAAGAGGAGGAACCTTGTGCCCCTGATGATCAGCCAGATGGGCATGAACAACGTAGGTGGATTATTTTATATATATATAGTTATATCCCCGTATATATCGCTCCCCAGCAACCCCAGTAAATGTGTACACAAATGTCTTTCCAGGGTGGAATTTTTCCCCCTCTTTTTATCTTCCTTTTCTTTTGTCTTTTGGGATTCTAAGTCTATCCGGTGGCTTCAGTAGAGCTCTCAGTATGAACAGTGCAACAAGAGTAGTGACATTTTGCTGAAATAAAACCAGCAACTTCTAAACGTGTTCTTGTGTTTCTTAGTAAATCCATGGCTAACTTGATCTGTTTCTGCTGTTTCAGGTCTCCTGAAGGCAGCTGTTCTTGTCATACATGACAATGTTGGGAGAGAGTGGAAGAGGCTGATGCGAGAACTTGGGATGCCAGAGGTGAAGCTGGAGAGGATAGAGACAGACTATCGAGATAAATTGTCTGAACAGGTTTTTCAGGCACTTCGACAGTGGCAGTCGTGGAAGGGGAAGGATGCAAAGGTAGCTGACTTAATACAAGCCCTCCGGGGCTGCAACCTGAATTTGGTGGCAGACAGAGTTGAAGGAAAGATCTCAGAATTGAATACTGGAACCAGATGAAATCGGTGTAAAACTATCAATGAAAAAAGTCCGAGTGCTGCCTTCTCTTCTGAAGCAAAATTATCACTGGTTGTTTATCATGCCATTTACTTATGTGCCTTAATAGGTTAATTTGTGCTCTGTGAAAATTGGCATGGAGACAGATTCCTTTCAGAAAACACTTTTTAGTTTAATGCTTCTGTCAAGATATTTTAATTTTCACAAGATACGAACTCATTTTTGTAGAAATTCTCACGCTTTTGTTCTGCCACTCACCTGGAAAGATTTGCTTTGCTGCAGGCACTTTTCAGATGCATCTCTACTGGAAATACATCCATGAGACACTTGTGAGGCAACTGGAATTTAAAATTTCATGGGGAGGTTGGATTTTTTTTTTTTTTTTCTTCTGGAGTAGCATAAAATAATATCTTAGATAATTTGTCAAATGTATTTGCTCTCCATGATAATATATTAAGACAACTCTTACCTCAGACTGCAGTGCAAGAGGGACATTAAATATTGTGGTGGCTTTCTTGGAAAAAACATGCCTGGGTTTGAAAATGAAATGTCTTCAGTTACTTGAGCCAATGTCTTCAATCACCAAGTGCCTTCAGCATCCTGAAAGAAGTGTTCTCCTGAAACTATCCAAGAGATTGTGTGTCTCACAGATGTTTACAGCAGACTCTTTTCAAAGCTGTGAATGCTTTGGGGCCTCTTGCTGGGAATCCTTCTATGACCTCTGTCACAGAGGCTGCTAGTGTGTGCTGGAAGGTGTGAGTCACTCACAGAGGGAACAGGATTCATAAACCTCTGTCAGATCCTCAGCTTTCATCTGGAACAAACTTCAGTCGGTGGCCTTCATGCCTGACCTAAGACTGGAGAAACAGCACAATTACACAGTCCAGGACATGCAGGGCTGTAGAGGCCTCAGCGGGGAGAATCCCATAAAATCATTACTGCTTGAACAGCTGTAGGATCCTGTGTTTCTGCAAACATCTCCCAAGTGCCTGGCTAGATACTGGAAGAGGCTTTATTGCTGCTGCACCTGTGGGACTTCAGCTATTTCCAAGTTGTTTTTATGTGGTGCCATTGCTGTGAAGGCCAGGTGTCAGCACATAACCTGTCACTGGTCTGCAGAAACATCGTGACACTGACTATTTTCAATCATTGTATGTGGTACCTGTTGTCAAGCAGTGAGGCTTGAATACTTAATCGTAGTTAGTGGAAACTGCCATAAATCACATGATAGAAAAATAATTTCAGTCAGGGGTTTTTTCCCTTCAATGATTCTTCTCCACATTCCTAGAAGTGTTCAAGGCCACACTGTATGGGATTTGAAGCAACCTGGTCAAGTGGAAGGAGTCAGTGGTTGGAACTGGACCGTCTTTTAGGTCCCTCCCTGCCCAAACCATTACAGGATTGCATGCTCATTCTCAGTATTTTTCCAATTGCAGTATATTAAGTATCACTGGTTGTATCCTAACAAAGGGCAATACGGGAGTTGACACCTGTCTGCCTTTTGGGCAGGCAGAGTTCTCCCACAATTGTCAATTCCAGGCTCCCAGGAGGAGATGCTGAGCTTCAGCTGAATGACCAGCTCAGATGTGTTTTGAAGATTATTGTTTCATAGACACCAGGAGTAATCCATTCTGCAGTATCTGTAGAGTAAAGAAAAGGATTGCTCCAGCAGTTCTTCCTTCCTGCCGCTGAGCAATCCTTGGGAGCAGAGCAGAGAAGTGGAAGTGAGCAGGATGAGTTATGTGAGTGCTCTGCAACAGCTCCAAGTGAAATCTCTCTGCTGAAGTGCTTTTCTTAACCACTTTTAATAAGTCTTCTGCTTCACTGAGGAGATTCATTTGGAATAGGAGGAGTATACTGCCTACTGCATAGAGCCAGGATATTTTAGGAATCAATTGGAATAACCTGTTGGTTGTAGCCAAGCACTCATCAGCAACAAGAAATATTCTGCTTCAGGAGACAAAAAGTTTCTTTAAGGATTTTGTACATCCTTTTACTGTGTCTGAAAGCAATGACCTAGACTGCATCAATCTGTGCCATACCTCAGGGCCAATTAAGACTGTTTTTATGGGAGATTAAAATGTTGTTTATATGAAAGCAAAATCAACTGAAACGAAGGGAACAAAATATTTTTATTGGGAGGAGGGATACAGAGTGCAATTTATAAGGGAATGTTTTCTGATCCAGTTGACAGTCTTTTATTTTCAAATTAAACACCTTGAACTCATATACATATCTTTATAACTTGAATTAAAGTTTTCTATTGTAGAATTCTGTATACATTTCATTAAAAGTAATTCTTTAGAAAACAAAATAAATGGAACGGGTTTTTTTTCTCGTTTGATGGGATTGCTGTCTGCAGTGAGATCTCTGACTGGGAGAAAGTGGATGTTAAGGACACTTTAAAAGCAAGGAGTGGTGCTAGACAGGCATTGTGTTACCAGTGACCTTCTTGGGACATTAAAGACAAAAAGCAAAGTGTTTTGTCATTGAGATTCTCAGAAGTGCTAAACAGGCTGTAGTTTGCCAGCAGCAGCAGCATTTGAATGCTGTCATTCAGGGAGGTGTAAGGAAAAAGAGATTCCCTGCCAGCCCTCAGGAGCCTAAACTTGAGTCCCAGTGTGCTTGGGAGGCTGCCTGTGGGTAGGCTTCCTTCTCTTTTCCTCTGCTAGCCATGCTGTGCTAAGGATGTTGTATTTGTTTTATAATTAATTAGAAGCCTGGCTTCTGGTTTAGTGTGAGCTTGGTCAGGCTTTTAGAGGACGTGCTCAGAATGAATTGACAGAGGCTTGGGTGCTCTGTGGAATGTCAGGCTGCACTTAAAGCTATGAATGAGCAAGACAACTTAATTGCCCATTTTATCAAATCCTTTAGGATGCTCTGCAAGAGTATCTGCCTGTGAGGAATTACTCAAACCTTTTTACTTTTCATCTCATGAGAGTAATCTTTCCTCACAGCCTTGAGAAAACAGCACATCAAAACACGTGGAGAATTAAACGTGCCATCTTGGGAGAATTCTCATCTTGGAGGATTGTTTTTCCATGTCACTTCTCAGTCCTTTTCAGTACTTCCTTGCCATTGCCTATGATTTTTGAAGATATCCTTTATAATCACAGATTGAGGTGGATTTCTTTTCTTAAATTGCATTATTTTCATTACTGACTTAAAATAAGTTTTCTAGACCATTAATTAAAAATCCTCTTTTGTTCACAAATTGATTTTTGTGAACATTTCAAACACAATGCTTTGGTTTCCTTTTCTCCATTCTCCATACACAGACAGCTGCATTTCCTCCAGCCTTTCATTCTTAAAATAATTGTCTCCTTTCTGATATCTAATTGATTTATTTAATTTTTTAGTGCAGAAAGCTTACTAACACAGATTTGTGTCTTCAAGCTCTCTCTGGCACTCAGCATGTTCTTAATTCAGGCATTTTGGCTGAGTATTTTTCAATTCAAATTTATTTCTAATCACTGCCTTATGCCCTTCTTCTTCTGCATGAATCATCTATATCCTTAAAATGTGTTTCAGCACAATTATTTTTCTAGGTTGTCTTCTCTCTTTGATTTATTGCTTTTCTCTGCCAGTATCTTGTTGCTCTGGTGGAACTGGGAGAAATTAGCTCACTGTTTCAACCATAAAAATAGGAATTGTGGGGGTGAGCTGAAGGGTATGGGAAGGAGTTGTAAGCAGAAGTTCAGGAACTTTCGGAGAATCTGTGTTTCAATAAAAACTGTTGCTGAGGATTGCTTCACAGGAACAGGGTGTGTTGCAATGTGTAGGTTCAGGGAGAGAAGGAAGCAGGGCTTTACTCAGCTGCTGGGAATGGCAGAGATATGCAGGTCTCTGCGTGGGAATCTGTGTGGAACCAATGCTTAATCATTAAATAGTCCCGTCCACAGGACCATTCCTGCTCCTGCCTCATTCCTGAGAGCATTACACATGCCTCTCTTAAAGCAGGCTGAAGTGAAAACAACAGGCTCGTTCTTGTGAAACCTGATGTAATAGACCCCATTAAAATCCCTGAAGTTGGCCATCCTGGATGAGATTGAATTTGGTAATTTCTCTGACTTGATGGGTTTTGGATGCTGCAAGCCTTTTCCAAGTGCTCAGTGTGTACAGTTCCTGCATGGATGGCAGCTGAGCTCTCATTTTTTTCAGTTTCTTGTGCTGTGTTGGGGCAGGTCACAGAACTCCAGGCAGCTCTCGCAGTGACCAGGTGTTCTAGCAAAGTGGAAGGGTTTGTGTGGCTTCTCTATAGAAAATAACAACTCCAAGGGAGGTCTTGAGGTGTCTCTGGTACAATGTAATAAAAAAGTGCCTTTGCTACTGAAAGCAGCTTAATGTCAACTTTGTATCTTTGCTGAACACCTCAAAAAGCTGTCAGACTGGTATTTTTTATTTACTACATAATGTTCAACCCTTCAGAGCAGGCGCTGGTGCAGCGTGAAGTTACACAGACATAAAACTGGACCATTGTCATGGGAGATGTAAAAAACACCCAACTGGGAGTTTCTGTGGGTTTTATTTACAGGTGAACCTGGCTTTGGAGAACTTCTACAGAAAGCAATCTTCTTGCCATTAAAAATGCTCACGATTTTTTAGATGTTTTCTTCTTCATTTCTTAATTCTGCTAATTCTATTGATCACAGCAGGAGTATTAACCTTTAAAAAAAAATATTTTCAGAATTTAATCTGAGCAGTTCTTATTGTGGTCAAACGTCTAAAAGGATTGTAGCAGCTATTCTGGAAGCATACACACCACCTGTGGCAAAAGGCATGTACAAAGTTTAAATTTCTGTACAAAAGTTGGTGGTTTTTGTATACAAACCTGGTGCTTGATTTTATAGACAGTGAGCATATAAAGTGTGAGAAAGATTTGACATAAAAAGGAAACTGTAAAACCGTTCTTGCCATTAATGTCAGTATGTGAACAACTGAGCTAGATCTTGTCTTTGTTTCTCAGTCATCTCCTGAGAGGTGCTTTCTGTCACTCCCAAGCATAATGCCAAATTTTGAACAGAAATTGTTGAGAAAATGTGAATTAATAGGGTGCAGCACTGGCAGGTCTGTGCCTCACATCCCACATTGTTTAATTTATGTTCTGCTCAGCGTAAGCAGAATTTATTCACAGCTTCTTGGCTGTGAAGTCCCTAACGTGGGAAAGCCAGGATAGCCTGAATTCCCCCCAAAGCCAGGGTTGCCATGGCAATCTGAGTGCACGGCAGTCCACGGGGCATGTGGGTGCAGCACGCTGCCTCCCGGCCATCCCAGCCAGCTGCACAATGCTGAGAAGCTCTCACTAGTTGTGGGATTTGCTGCACTCTCCAGTCTGACCATGTCAGGAACCCAAAATCTGAGGGCAGGAATAGAAATGAAACTTCTT